GGGAGAAAATATGTGTACAAAGTGACGTGTGTGTGTGTGCATGATATGTGTATGTGTGTATGTGCAGAGGCCAGTTAAGACAGAATCTCTCCCTGAACTTAGAGCTCACAATTTTTGTTCAAGCCAGCAGTCAGCAAACCCCAGCAACCCTCCTGTCTCCATACCCATCAGTGTTGAGGTTAAAGGCATGCTTGGGACCAGACTAGCTACATGGATGCTAGGATCCGAATTCCAATCCTCCCATTCTCGTGCATGTATGTGTACCAAGCATCCTTAACCACTTAGCCACTCTCCAGCCCTGCATTATTATTTCTTGTGGGGGTGGGGAAGTAACTGCCTGTGCTTCTTCTCTGCTGCTTTTCTTAGACATTCTACATTTCTGGCATCTCCACCTTCCTGGGCATCTCCATGACACTGGCTCCACACTCACAGCTCCTGACATCACCTTCTGAAGTTCTACTTGTGGGAATACTGAGCCTGCCACACACTGCCCGATTTCCCCAACCTTCCTCTGAAATATGGGTAGAAGCTATGGGGTGAGATGCTTCTGGGTTTTGCTTGTGCCTTTGTGGTAAGTGGATAATAAAATGTCACTGTCTTTAATTTCCGGTAACTAGTGGCTAGTTAAGTTGAACATTTTTCATGAACTTAAATGCTCTCTGTATATTCTCATTAGTGAACTGTCTACTCATGTAGGGTTTCTCTTTTTAAAAATCTTGTTCTAAGCCGGGCGGTGGTGGCGCACGCCTTTAATCCCAACACTCGGGAGGCAGAGGCAGGCGGATCTCTGTGAGTTCGAGGCCAGCCTGGTCTACAAGAGCTAGTTCCAGGACCGGAACCAAAAAAGCTATGGAGAAACCCTGTCTCGAAAAAAAAAAATCTTGTTCTATAAATGTGACATGTCCATTCTCTAACTGAATCATCTTGTTTTTATTGTTGAGTTTTGACAGTTTTTCATATTTTCTAGATGCATGTATATTGTTGGACATGTGCCCTGCAAATAGTTCTTCTTCATATTTATGAAATATTTCTCATCAGCTGGACTTGAAAGGTGCTCTATTTTCATGAAGTCCAATGATGAACCTGAAATCAGCTTTGAAACTCAGTCTTCATCTTAAGCAATAGAGGAGAGGGTATCTGAACTAGACTTGCCCTGTAGTCAGATTGATGAATATTTTAAATGTCATCATAGAACCTTCACCCAGCAACTGATGGAAACAGAGGCAGACACCCACATCAGAGCACTGGGCTGAGCTTCCAAAGTCCAGTTGAAAAGTGGGAGGAGTGAAAATATGAGCAAAGAGGTCAAGACCATGATGGGGACACCCGCTGAAACAGTTTACCTGAGCTAATGGGAGCTCACCAACTCCAGCCGGACAGGGAAGGAACCAGCATAGAACCAAACTAGACCCTCTGAATGTGGGTGACAGTTGTATGGCTGGGGCAGACTGTGGGGCCACTGGCACCAGGATTTATCCCTACTGCTTTTACTGGCTTTTTGGGAACCTATTCTCTTTGGATGGATACCTTGCTCAGCCTAGATATAGTAGGGAGGGCCTTGGACCTTTCCCCAAAGCAATGTGCCTTACCCTTTATGAGGAGTGTAGGTGGAAGGGGGAGATGGAGAGTAGGTAGAAGGAATGGGAGGAGGGGAGGGAGTGGGAACTGGGATTGGTATGTAAAATGAAAAAAGATTGTTTTCTTTTTTAAAAAAAATATTTAAAAAAAGAAAATCAGTCTTCCTTACTGTGACTATAATGGTGACTCAAGGAAAGGCAGTCTATTGTAATCAATACCATTACACCTTGAAGATTATGCAGACCACATGACGGGCTAGAACCTAGAACAGTGGTTCTCAGCCTGCCTAATGCAGGTCCTTCAATGCAGCGCCTCATGCTGGGAGGTGGTGGCATACATCTTTACTACCAGCACTCTGGAGGCTGAGGCAGAAAGATATCTTGAGTTATAGATACCCTGGTCTATAGAGTGAGTTCTAGGACAGCTAGGGTTACACAGAGAAACCGTGTCTTGAAAAACTAACAACAACAAAAATAGAGTTCCTCGTGTTGTGGTGACCCCAACCACAAAATTATTTCTTCACTACTTCCTAACTGTAATTTTGCTACCGATATGAATTGTAAGGTAAATATCTGATATGCTCTGATATGCAGGACGTCTGATATGTGAGCCCAGTAGAGGGGTTATAGGCCCGAGGGGTCACAACCCACAGATTGAGAACCACTGACCTGGACGTACAATAAGGCACCACCTGCCTTCAAAGGGATAGTTCAAAAAATTGTAGCAACCTGACATGCAAGGCTCCATGGCCGTGCCCTCTCAGAGCACAACCATCTCAAGGGAGGGTCTAGCAGCTTCACCAAGTCTTCCTGGAACACACCCTCTAAGGGCAGGCACAGGGAAGGTATCGCCCTCTGACAGTGTGCACCACACATGCCATTCCCTTAGAATGGAGTCTTTCTCTATTCCCACAAATCAATAAGCCTCGTATAAATGAAGGGGGGCTTTTCTAGCGATCTTCAGTGAGCTCCACGGGGTACTCTTATTTTTTCATGTGACCTCTTACTCTTGTGCAGTATCTAGTTTCTGGAAGTTAGCTATACAACAGTCCCCAGATGGATCTGGGTCTCAGTCATATCCTGGCATATTTTCTGTAAAATGAGCACATTTGTGTGTTGACTGCAAAGAATATGAGGATGATATAAGATGATAGACTCTTAAATCAGTAGCAGACACATGACAAAAAAAATCCTCAATAAATGCTGGTTTACACATCACAAATTAAACTCTCCCATGTTACCCCTAAGTCCATCTCTAATATTTCCTAAACACAGGACTAAAATTACATAACGGGAAGTAGGGAGACGGCCAAGTTAACTTCCCTGGTACAAGGAGCTTATAAAGATTCCCTGCTAGCAGCCATGGATGCTAACTAACCGTATACTCACCTAGTAAAAGCTGTTAGAAAAGGTGATTACCCACATGAACCTTTAACGGGAGGAGCTGGCGGTGGAGCACAATAGTAGAGCACAGGCTTAGCGTCCACAAGGCCTTGTGTTCCATTTTAGTGCCCACCAAAATAAACCATTAAAGGGAACAAAGGGGCAGTACTCAAAAGTCAGGCAGAGGGGCGGGACAACTGCTTTAGTAAGACCATCCCACTTTTAGATTTTGAGCAGTCTTCTCTATGTACTAAAGAAGGTCAAGCAAGAAGACACTAATGAGGCAGGCATGGTGCACATGCTTGTAATCACAACACTTGGGAGGTGGAGGCAGGTGGAGCCAGCATTCAAAGTCGGCCTCGGCTACAATGAAGCCAGCCTGAACTGCAGGAGACTTTAGTCTCAAAAAGATGCCAAAGGAACAAACATAAGTGACTGAGAAGCGACCACTTCCCACAGTCACGCACATTTTAAAATGCCAAGAGCATCGTCTCCACCCAATTTTTAAACTGAAATCTTGGACACCATTAATCAAGAGCACAAATCATTTATTCATGGCTGCACTCAATAAAACCAAACTTTCTTGTGTGAAGGCATGTTCTTGTGGCTAATAAAGAAAGGTTAACCAGGAAGTTTCGGCCCTATTTGAAATGATCCTGGAGACGAAAACTGGGAAAATGTTAAGCCCTCCTTAAATTACAGAGCTAAACTCAGAATTCTGGAGACGGTTCGATCCAATAGTAAGGCATCTCTTCTTCCCTCTTTTTCATTATTTGCATTTGCCTTTCACTTGGCATTAGCACCATCAACCGTGACAGAAACAACAATTTACACTTAGTTACTAGAATTGTGCTGTGCAGTGCAGCAGCCAGTAACTACATGTAGCTCTTCAGCATCCTATGACTGATCCCAAATGAGACTGCTTTAAGGGTAAAACACACATTAGGTGTCAACTAATTATCAGAGAGAGAGAGAGAGAGAGAGAGAGAGAGAGAGAGAGAGAGAGAGAGAGAGAGAGAGGGGGGAGAAGGAGGATATGCCATTCATATTTAACATTAATCACATGTTGTAATGATACCATCTGAGTTTATGGGGGTTAAGTCTATTAAAATTAATTTCACTTATCTTTCATTTAAGGCGGCTTCTACAACATCAAATCACACAAGTGGCTTGCAATTTTTGCTCACGTATTTTTATTATTATTATTATTATTGGACGGCGCTGGTAGAAGATGCAAGAGGGGCGAAGGTGTCGTGCAAAGGGAGGTAGTGCATTTTCTACAAAGTTTCTGGAGGGGTGGAAGCTTGGGAGATGTGACCTAGCGTGACGATACTCGGTGGGAAGTGGAAAGCGGGCTGGGTTTGGTTTGTTGGCACTCCCCACCCCCGCAGCTAACGGTGCAGGCGGCAGGGCTGCAGCCCGGGCCCCCTACGCCGCCAGGCCTCGGGGTTCGGCCGGAGCGCTATCTCGGAGCACACACACCTGCGCGCCCACCGAGGTGCGCGTCGGCGAACCCTGGCGCTGCGCCCACGCCCCCTCCCCCCGGATTATTTTCCTGCCACCAACCGTCAGTCGCGCACTTTTCCTCCAGAGAACTAGCGAGGAGGTTGGAGGCGCCGGGTAAGCGTCCCCCTCTTTTCCCTCAGCCCGATCCCGAGAGCCGAGACGCCGAACGCGGCCGTCCTCGGAGCCGCCGCCCGCTGGCCCGGATCCCCGGCTCGTCCAAGCGGCCCGGGTGGAGCCGAGGCCGTCCGCCATCCCCGCCATCCCCGCCATCCCCGCCATCCCCGCCATTCCCGCCATCGGCGAACGCGAGCGGCCGTCGCCAGCCGGCGGGAGGGCAGCAGCGCCGGGGGGCCTCCGGGCCGCGGGGGGCCGCTGTGACCCGCCTCGGCCCCACTGCGTCGCGGGAGGGCGGGCGGGAGGGCGGGGGAAGCGGGGGCTTAAACGAGAGCGTCCGCCAGCCCAGCCGTAGGGAGCCGGGGAGACGGACGCTGGGCTGCGGCGCGTCGGCTGGGGCCCGGAGCGCGGAGGAGCGAGCAGGGCCCGCCGGTCCTCCTCATGAGGCCTGAGTGAGGCGCGGCGGTGACAGGGCGGCCCGCGGCGCCTCCCGCGCGTCCTGTTCGGAGCGGCGGCGGCGGCGGCGGCCCCCGTGGGAGGGAGCGCAGGAGCATGTCGGACAGTTTCGATCGCGCTCCAGGTGCTGGTCGGGAGCGGAGCCGGGGCCTGGGCCGCGGAGGGGGCGGGCCTGAGGGCGGCGGGTTCCCGAACGGAGCGGGGCCTGCGGAGCGGTCGCGGCATCAGCCGCCGCCGCAGCCCAGAGCCCCGGGCTTCCTGCAGCCGCCGCCGCTGCGCCAGCCCAGGACCGCCCCGCCGCCAGGGGCCCAGAGCGAGGCCCCCGCCGGCTCCGCGCGGCCTCCCCGGCCTGGGGCGCTCCCAGGTACGGAGCAGCTCGAGGGGGCCCCGGTGCTCCTGGGCCAGCCTCCCCACCATCCCCCGCGCCAAGGGCCGCGCGCCGAATCCGCCCCCCGGTTCCCCGAAAGCATTCCCCGGGAGAGGGGGCCCCGCTCGGCACGGGGTAGGAACTGGGTTTGGAAGGAGGTGCTGGCTGCCATTCTTTGTGCGCTCCGGCTGGGGGAGGGGCCGGGGCCCGGGGCCGGTGAGAGGTCTGGCGTCCCGGGAGGAAGTGAAAATCACCTACCTGTCCCCGGTGAACCCGGGCCCCGGGCGAGCAGCCACTTCTTAGCCCAACTCCTTAAGAGAGAGGGAAGGGGTGGGAAAGGCTCTCGAACGTTCGTTTCGGAGGCAGGTATATGCACTGGCGAGCCAAAGCAGGGCTATTGTTCCCTTTTGCAAGCTCTTTGTAGGACTCTTAACCATCTTACATTTTGTGTTTAACTCCCCAAATCCGGAAGTTCTCAGACGGTTTCTCAGTATGTAGTAAGTTGTTATATACAAAGGAATGAATACATCTAGCACTGCTTTTTTTTTTTTTCTTTCTCAGAACAAACGAGGCCCCAGAGAGCTCCACCTAGTTCACAGGATAAAATCCCACAGCAGAACTCGGAGTCAGCAATGGCTAAGCCCCAGGTGGTTGTGGCTCCTGTGCTAATGTCTAAGCTGTCTGCGAACGCCCCCGAATTTTACCCATCAGGTTATTCTAATTATACAGTGAGTACATTCTTTTCTCCTACACTCCGTGTTGATACTATTAGAATAATGTCTTTCGCTAGAGTATGCTGGCTGCTTTTTGTACTACACACAGAAATACCTTATTCAGCGAAGCCGTGGTTCCGGACTATAATTTGTAGTTATATTCATGGTATTGAATGTAAGCTTGTGAGACTAGGGATTCTCGTCTGCTTGTTTCCCTGTTGTGTACCTAGTACTTAGAAAGTAAATGTAAAATCACAAGCCTGGTATAGAAAGCCTAATTTCAAGGATATCTTCAATTTGTAAAACTAAAATCTTCTGAACCTATGGACAGACAACCTGTACAGTGAGTGGCCAGGAGAGCTTCCTTTAGTCTGATTTTAGCCAGATTGCAGAATATTCCTGGTGCCTTTGGAGTAAATAACCTTTTGCTGCAAATAGGTAGTTTATGAATGTTGAGAAATGCGTATCTGGGCTCTTTATTTCTAGAGGATGTTCATCGATTATGTTAAGATAATATTTCTGGTGCTGGCTGTATGCAGAAATATTGTGAAAGCTTTTGCTGTCTTTATTTTTTTTTTATTTTGAGTCAAGCAAGGCAGCCCTCCTGCCTCAGCCTCCCAAATCTGGAATTACAGGCATACTTTACCATGTTTCGTATGTAAACAATTTTGGTAAAGTGTTTACATAAGTATATGTAGGCATAAAGAACTTTTCACGCTTTTATTTTTGTCAATAATGTAGCAAATTTTATCTGGTCTTAGTTTTCTTAGTAGTAGGAAGCCCAAAGCATGGTTGGACTATAGGAAGAAATTCACCTGTCCTTGTTAAACCCAGATGAGTCAGTGAATAGAGATTAACTTCAGAAAAGGGGAGTGAATAACAGTGATGAATTGAAAAGAGGACTGGTATACCTTAGCATGAGGCCTCACTCTCAGTCTATTGAATGACAACACAGTCGGAACTCAGCTCAAAGTTAGCACACAGAGAGCTAGAGCTGGCATCACAGCCAAAGAGGAAAAGTGTCGGCATCCTCTAAGCCTCAGTTAGAATTATCCTCATGTCCAGGGGTAGCCGTTAGGGGGTTGCTTGGTTTGGTTTGGTTTGGTCTTAGATAATTTCGATACATCCTAATCATCCTTGAACTTGATACCCTCCTGCCTCACAGCCTCTCCTGTGCTGGCATGTTACAAACCATTTTTCAAAGCTTACGTAAATGAAGATCTAGAGACTAGGTTGATGCTCTAACTCTACATTTAAATTCCTGTTGGAACATAGTTTGAGGTAACTTATTCACATCACTGGACTGTGTCAAGGTTCCATTTGTCCACTGATCAATGGATAGCTTCAACTTTGGGGCTATTGTGAATGAGGTCATTGTCTCTGCCCATGTCCTGATTGATATGTGCCTTTATTTCTGCTTGGTATGTAAAAGTAGAATTTCGGGAGCCAACCTTAGTAGAAGCAGCTGTCTTCTCTAACGAGATCATTTCACTCTGCATTCTTCAGTGTTTGATTGCTACTTGCTGTCCTTCCTTGTCAGCACTCTGTTTTCTGTTTAGCCATCCTGATTAGTTTTACTTTCTGTTTTTCATAGTTTCTGTAATCTATATTTGGTTCTCTTTCCTGTTTGACACGTAGAGAATCTGCACTTTGTGGAACTAGAAAATCTATGCACCCTTTAGAAAAAAATGCTTTGGGACTAGACAAGAGGAAGTATAAGTATGACAAGAAAAGCAGTTGATTTGGTGAAAAAAGACATTTGTCATAAAAAGTAAAAATTAAGAGTCGCTCCCCAAAAAATTGTATTTGACTCAGAGAGGAAAGGAACCATGGAAGCTCTGTGAGTAGTTGAATAATTCAACTCTTAAGAATGTTTTACTTTGGGCGCTAGGGAGATAGCTTAGAGCTTAACACTGGCTGCTCTTCTAGAGGACTCAAGTTCAATTCCCAGCACCCACGTGGTAACTCACAACTGTCTGTAACTCCAATTCCAGGGGATATGGTACCCTCACTTAGATATGTATGTCTATACATGCCGGTAAAAATCGTAAAAAATACATACATTACATGAAAATAAATCTCGAAAGGAAAAATTAAGATAAGAAAAAAAGGTTTACTCTTTAGCACCCAAAAACAGTTACCTATTTATCTGTTTTCCTTCCTGTTGATGTGGACTATTTTATGATAGGAAAAATAATTGTTGTTGTTTTCTTTCAAAGTCCTGAATACAAGTCAAATGACCCTTTATGAGCAAATGTGTCTATGGGTGTGTGCAGGTGAGTGCATTTGTCTGAACAGGCCAGAGAGGCCAGATCTCTCTTTGGAGCTGGATTCACAAGATGGTTGTGAGTGGCCCGTGTGGATGCTAGGAAAGAAAGGAACAAGGTCTTCTATAGGGCTGGTACGTGCTCTTTTTTTTTTTTCCTTCTTTCTTTTTTGAATGATTTGTTTTTTTTTTTTTTATGTGCATTGGTGTTTGGCCTGCATGTGTGTCTGTGTGAAGTTGTTGGATCCTGAAACTGGAGTTAGAGAAAACTGTGACCTGTCACGTAGATGTTGGGATTCAAGCCTGGGTCCTCTGGAAGAATAGACAATACTCTTAAACACTGATCCATTCCTCTAACCCCGTGGTACACGCTCTTAACCACCCAGCCATCTTCTCTACCTCACCACCAGCACTTACTTTGAAATCAGTCTTGGTGGTTTTTTGGGTTTTTTTTTTTGGTAGGAATTCTTTGATATCTATTAGTACATCAACTTCTCTGTTCATTGTACCAAAACAAATGAACTAGAAGCATCTTTGGCCCTTGGTATATGACCTTTTATTTCAAAGACTGTTTTAGTTAGTTGCCAGCATTTAATTAAGTAGGATATTGGGAAGTTAATATTGACTGGTTTCTGTTTAAATCATAAGAAATAGCCATAATGGACTGAAATTGGTTGAAGCAAATTGGCGGCATAATTAAATTTCTTCCCTGGCTGATTTCCTAAGTGGTAATTCTCCTGGATTTTGTGGATAGTTGGGCTTGCTACCTTGTCCTAGTATTTTGTCACCCTTACTTAACACTAAAGTTTATTCAAAGTCCAAGTTAAATGCTTTTCAGTCCATTTAGTACAGAACAGGAGCGTCCTCCTTTATCCAAACTCTTTAGATAAACTCGTGTGAGGAAAACTTTTCCTGATAGGAGCCGTGATACAGAATTAGCTAGAACCAGTCCCTCCACAAATAGGTTCTGTATGCAGTGGTGGGTGGGGCACTGGTCTTGTAGGACACAGTGGAGAAAACTCTCTTTACAGGGCCTTTTATAGTAGTCAGCCTCTGTTTCTGGAAATCTTTGAGCCTGCTCTTGTATACATTACTGGGTCAGTAAGATGGCCCAGCAAGGTAAAGGCACTTACTGCTAGGCAGATGACCTTAAGTTCAGTCCCTGGGGGACCCACATGATGGAGAGAACCAATTCCCAAAAGCTGTCCTCTGGCTTCACACACAGGTTCACTAGTCCAGCTGCTAGAATTTCCGCTTTTCATGCTGGGTTTCTGTATCCATCTGTTCCTGGTTGCTTCTCAGACTTATATGGCTATTTAGTTTACTTGCTAATAAAAAAGGAGCTGCTAAAGCATTCATTAAGAGGCAGAAATGTTTGTGTCACCACCCCATCACCACCCAAAAAGCTTTTTTCCTAAAAGCCTCTTCGAGTTACTGCTGCCTTTTTTATCTGTTTTCAGTATGGAATGCAAATCTGCAGTGTGATTTCCCCCTAGATAAGTTGATACAATTTTTATGATTGTAAAAGATCTCTGATTTTTAAATCTGTAGTGTTCTTAAATTTTCTTTCTTTTAGGCCCTGAACAATACATGAAAATCTGTTTAGTTTAAAAGTTCCAGTGTGGTAGATGTCAAAGTTACCTTTTGTAGTCTTTAAAGATCTCTTGTGTGATTTTATTAGAACTGCATATTTAATATTGCTAATCTTGTTAAGCTTTCCTTGTGTATAATCTCCTTTACTTCCAAGACTGCAACCATCGTTCTCTTCTAGATTTTAGCTATGCACTTGACCTGGGCATCAGTTCTCCTCGCTTAGCTCTCCTTCCATTTCTGATGGGTGTTTCTCTAGCATCCTTCTTCCCCTCAGATCATAGTACCTAGGGTTCTGTTTTTCCATTTTATTACCTTTTTTGTGAATCCTGCCTGCTCCCAGAATCTGATATCTGAATCACTTTCCTGTTACTTCTTGATGAGGATTCTCACATTTATCCTCAGGTATAAAACAATTATCCGTAACAAGGTTATGGCAGAAACTTAGTGTGTTGACATCTCCATCCTTTTCATGTTTCAGTCCAGCAAGTCTAAGTCACTTGTCTTCAAATTGAAGACAGATAAATTATTTGAAAAAAAAAAAAAAGAAAGCTGATACAAGTGATACAGACTTTGATCAGGCATGGTGTGCTGCCTGTCTCTGAGAGCACTGTTAGGTGACGGGCCTGACGGCTCTCCCCTGTTCTCTGTAGAGCACATCTGAATTTTTTTTTAAATGACTTAAATTCTTTTTAATGGGCATTGGTGTTTTGCTTGTGTGTGTGTCTGTCAGGGTGTCAGTCCCCTGGAACTAGAGTTACAGGCAGTTGGGAGCTGCCATGTGGGTGCTGGGAATTGAACCTGGCTCCTACAGAAGAGCAGCCAGCTCTCTTAACTGCTGAGTGTCTCTCCAGCTCCCCACTGCAGCTCTGCTTTTACTCACCAGACTTGAATCCTACTTTGAGGGGTCTATTGACAGTGTATAAAGCTGACATTGGACATTCTGAACTGTGTTTTTGTCACAGTGAATGAGAGTTGATAGAAAATTAGTGGCTTCAGCTGATGCCTTCAGACTTCTCTTTGTCATTATATTAATGTTATGATTCTTTAAGTCTAGAAAACTATGTATACCAAAACCTTTTTAATTCTGAAATTCACACAGATAGGTGGTTAAATATATTAATAATGTATATGTTTTTAATGCTTAATTGTTTTCACAACTTTCTAATAAAGTAGCAGTGCTTGTAATAATAATTTTTCACTCCAGATGTGTTGTCAGTTGTTTAGCTTTGCAGAAATGTTAGGTCTATACAAATAAGTTCCTTTCTTTGGGGGGGGGCATTATGTATGCTCTTTTTATTTAACAAATTATCTTGGAACTATTTCTGAAGGATGGAATATATATACATATTATATTAGAGGTGCAATTATATTAGAGATGCATAAATTCTGTCTTGTTTTCTTAAGTGGCTATATTAAGGCTGATTATATGAATGTACAGTAATAAATTTAACCAATTTCTTGCTTATATACTGTTAGGTTTCTTGGCGATGAACATACTTATATTATGTCATATTTGTGTTCTGAGTCTTAGTTATTTTGAGGGTAGTATAATATAAAAGTACAATTTTTCATCAGCTTTGTGTCTGTACACAAATTCAAGTTCTATGCAGTCCTTTATATAAACTCCTTTTCCCCACCACTGCTTTTAGAATTAGCCTCCTTAGTGTGCCCTCATCATACACGATCTACCTCTCTCATTGATTCTTAACAGCCTTCATCCTTCCTCAGTTTTGTTTTAGCTATTGACATTTTTCCTCAAAGGTATTAAGTCAAGTCCCTCCCTCTTTGGAACCAACATACTGTATCCTTCTACTGCATAGGATATCTCCCACAGTTTTTGAGGGTTTGGGAGGAATTCTGTTTGTTTTGCATTTTCCGTTATTTTACTTTTTTTTTTTTTTTAGATTCATTTGTTCTGTCTTATGTGTATGGATGTTTTGCCTATCAGTAATGTGTGTGGATTGTGTACATGCCTGCTCCTGCACAGGTCAGAAGAAGGCATTGGATCCCCTAGAACAGGAGTTAACAGGTGGTTGTGAGCCACCATGTGAGTTCTGGGAACTAAACCCACATCCTCTGCAAGAGCAACAGTGCTCTTAACCACCCACTTCCAGATATATGAGCTCTCAAGACTAGTTATCTCAGCATCTGAATGAGATATGAGGAGAGAACTTGGTCTGCTTTATTCATGGCAGTTCCTGTGTCACGTCCTTTCAGCACCCATACAGTTGGCACGCAGGCTCTCGGCATGGACTGCTGGTCCATCTACCTCAGTGTCCAGGGCTGGAGCTACTGGCATGTGCCTTGAAAGGATGTCAGACACAGTCTTACCAGGAAGAATATCTCCCTTGTATTTTTTTGTACTCACTGACTCTAGAACTTAAAGCCCTTCATAAGCTGCTTCTCTATTTTGCGCATTATTTTTTCATGTGATTTGTAATTTGAGTTTATTTGGAGAACGATAAATCTTATCAAGCAGTGTATGTATTTGAACATAACAGATAAATTTTAGCATGCTTTGGGGTAGTATTCCATGTGATGAGAGCAAGAAGAATCTTAAGATTATTATTACTATCCAGATTGGTTAGAAACCTAATAAAGCAGACAGAAAGTCTCCCACCATCTTTATTATGATGTAATTTTGTATTTAAGCAGTTAAGTATGCTTCCCTGTCCTTGGGTATTGGCAAATAGATGACAGACAAAGCACACTAGTTTTTTTTTTTTTTTCTTTCTTTCTTTTCAGTATAGATGTTGTCAAACATCTACAAGGATATACAGAGTAGTATAATATAGTTCCCAGGCTGGCAATTCTGGTTTCTATATTTGGTCCATCCTTTCCCTATAGTGTTATGTTTTTGTTTTTTAATTTATTTTTATTTTATGTTCACTGGTGTTTTCCAGCATGTATATCTGTGTGAGGTGTCAAGCCCTGGAACTGGAATTACAGACAGGTGTGAGCTGCCATGTGGGTGCTGGGAATTGAACCTGGGTCCTCTGGAACAGCAACTAGTGCTCTTAAATGCTGAGCCATCTTTCCAGTCCCCTTTCCTTACAGTTTTAATTCAAAATTACTAACTAGGTCTTATTTCATCTGTAACTAGATTCTTCTTATATTATTTATTATAGTGAAACTTTATTTCCTTGCCATAATATAAATCTGCTAGGATTGAAAAGACAATTCTTTGTCTTAATGGAGCTCCTTCTGTTAAAACATGTTGGGCAAGGAAGAGGAATAGCTAGCTGAGTGCTCTTCAATTTTGGTCTTTAAAGTTATTGTGAGATCCCTTAAAAAAAAAATCATTGCTAGAAACACCTCAACTTAAAGCACTGCATGCTTGCTTTGCTAGTTATATGAATTAAATTGTTTTATTCCATTTTCATTTGTTTTGTTTTAATTTTGAACTGTAGGAATCCTATGAGGATGGTTGTGAGGATTATCCCACTCTATCAGAATATGTTCAGGATTTTCTGAATCATCTTACAGAGCAGCCTGGCAGTTTTGAAACAGAAATTGAACAGTTTGCAGAAACCCTGAATGGATGGGTCACAACAGACGATGCTTTGCAAGAACTTGTGGAACTCATCTACCAGCAGGTAGGTAGGCTCGTAGCAGGAGGTGACTGGTAGTTTCCCAGAGCCCATAGACGGTGACGGTTATTTGAAGAAGGCTAGGTCCCTGTCCATTTCGTCTGTACTTGTTAATGCTTTGTAGATAAGAGGAACGTTTGAAGTATGTCCTGGGTAAAATTCCTGTAGTTAGAGATCCAAGGCTAGAGCCAGGCCACACTGTCAGTTGACCTGCACAGCCCAGCTCTGTAGAAGCAGCATTTATGGCTTAGCTAGGGCTCTGTGCACAAGCAGCAGTACAGAAGAGGTCTAGGCTCAGACAAGGAAATCTACAAAAGAATCACACATACCCCTATTTTTTTGCACCTAAAGCTAACTAACATACACAAAACAGTTGTGGGATTTTTTTTTTCTCTCTGTGTTTAATTCTGTAGGATTCTTGGAGAAGGTGAGAAAAAAATGTGAGAGAAATTTCTTCCCTCACAAATGAGGTGGTGTTGAGGACTGAGTTCAGTGGCAGAGTGTTGGCCAGGCAAGTGCAGGGCCCCGAGTTTAGTCCCTAGCACTGAGATAGATAGACACAAATAAGCCAGGCTGCAAAATAGTCCAGTATTAAGTTTCAACATTTCTTGTCTTCATTTGTTTGTTCATGTGCTTTTGAGATGGTCTCACTCTGTATTTCAGGCTGGCCTGGATCTCACTATCCTAGACTGGCCTTGAACTAAAGGTAATTCTGTCTCAGCCCTCCAAGGCTATAGGATTTGACCGTGCCCACTCTTAGGTTTTAAAGATGTGTATCTTAAATCCTTAAAATACTTAACCAGTTTAAAAAAATAAAAGACTTAACCAGTTATTTCTGTGTTATTTAACATTCAGCTTTTGTTGTCACATATTGGGCAGTGGCATGTTAATACCATTATAAAGGGTATTAAAATGCTGTCTTTTTTTCCCCCAAAATCTTTAGTTTTTAAAATGGTTTTCAGTACAGTTTTAAGTTTGAGAAGGTTCCTTTTTACCGTACCCAAAGAGTTACTAACACATAGAGAAGAGCATACATTACAAAGATAAAACCCACTGGCATTACTCCAGCTTCCAAGAGGTATGTCAGTCATCCTTAGCTATCAAGATTAGTAAGGCTGCTTTAAGTGTATAAGTTAATTCTGCCACATAAGACCAAAGAGAAAAAGCAGATAGTCTAGAAAGGAATGAGTTTTCTTGACTAGTGTTGCTGATGGATCTACAAGTTTATACTTGAGATGGTAAGTTGTGCATTCCCAGTGGACTTTGAGCTGTTGCCCCACATGAACGCTATCACTCTCTACCTTGGGTGTGGGGCATTCTCATGGAAAGTTCAGTGAAAGAAGAATATATTCTGTCTGAAAAAAGAAAAAAATCATAAATTAAAAAAAAAACATATTGTAAAAAAACGTATTGTAGGTGGAGAGAATGGGAGATAAGAGTAGGGTTACTTAAAGCAAGTGGTAGCTAAAATCTCATTTTCCAGTGAGGGGAAACAAGTAGGCAATTGTGTTTAACTGACAAACAGTTACAAAGGCTAAAAACCCTTCAGCCAATAGCGGGAAAAGCAAAGTTTGGCTTTCTTTTGTTAAGCATTTATAGTATAAGGAGAAATCATGTTTGTTTTGTTTTGTTTTTGAAATGAATCAAATGTAAGAAAAAAAAAACAAAAAGAAGAAAAAACCTAGAAATAGAAAGGACTAATTATAAAGCATTTGCTATGTTTCTGATAATGCTAAGATTCTACAATGGTTGCTCTAGCTCAATGGTTGAAAGTGTTACTCCTCCGTCCACACTATACACATCTGAGCAGAGAGCTTAACTCATTCTCCTCTAGTGAAGTGATCCGGAAGGGGCTAGAATCTGTGATTTATTGGTTATCTCTGCGACCTTGGTCAGGCTCCTGAAGCCCTCTCACGTGTTTTCCTGTCTATCACAAGGTGGTAAACTGTGTCCTCCTGTTCTCTAAAATCTGCAGTTGAAGTCTAAATTTTTTAAGTGCTGCTTCTGCTACAAATTCAAGATGTAGCATTTTCTCACTTAGTTTTACTTTTTATTTTCTATTTTTAAGTAGTTGTTTTGATTTTTTTTTTTTTTTATTCCATGTGTTTTGGGATGTTCAAGCCAAGTACTGTTAGTCGCTTTTTTGTGTGTCAAACTGAAGCTAGGAAGGTTTCAGTAGTGGCCAAGGTCACAAAGCAGAATATTTGAGTGTCTTGTTGTGGACTGCTAGATCTCAAAGTGTGTGCTGTTTTTTCCTGAGAAACAACATTGATCCGTAGTTTTGTAGCTACCCTCATCATTCATAATTGTTACCAAGCAGTCGTGTACACGTCTGTATTTTCTGCAAAACTGGGTAACATCAAGAGACATTTTCTAATTGTTTCTGGTAACCTCAGGTGAAAGAGGGATAGGAGAAGTCCCCTTACAGTTTTCTTTGTACTGTGGTTCTTAGTATAAGGATAGGTGGGAGGATTCACTTTCTTAGGCCTAACAAAAACCTTGTAATATATACTATATAGTTCATTTTAGTAGCCAAGTGGTGTTCCTCCATAAGATATTGCTAAGTATTTGCATTGATAATAATGTATTTGTGTCATACAAAACTTTTCTTTTTAAAAGGCCACGTCTATCCCAAATTTCTCTTACATGGGAGCTCGCCTGTGTAATTACCTGTCCCATCATCTGACAATTAGCCCACAGAGTGGCAACTTCCGCCAATTGCTACTTCAAAGGTCAGTGTGAATATAAAATTACAGATAATAGAATTTGACCATTGATGTTTTCTAAACACCTTACAATATAGGTTGCAGGGGAATATAGGCAGACCAGTCTGATTTCCAGAATATTTAAACCTTAGAGTCAAATGTCAGTTTTTCCTTTGCCTTTGGTTTGGGATTTAGAAATGCCTTTCCCAGAATCATCAAAATGACTAGTGATGTGTTTTTAAGTATTTCGGTAGTTTTAGTTTGAGAATTTAAATTTGATAAAAATGAGTAATTCATTTTTCTTGACTGATTTGAACTACCACCTGCATCACACTGCATTCTTAAACTTGAGCTTTAAATCTGATTCTTCATCATGTTCTGTCTTGTCACTTGTTCTTGTTATTATATAGTCTAACTACTATATAATAGCTATGTTAAGAGCTCTAAAATTTTAATTATCTAGATCTCTGTTCTTGTAGAATCTTCTTGCTCTACACCTTTTTACAGTTAGAATTAGTGTTTACATTACACAAGCATTGTCGTTATATTACATATTTAATAGTTGGCATTGATTCATGAATTATTAGGGAAAACTTTAATTTTCTTAAAGTGAGTGTGGTAGCTCACCGAAGACAGGATTGCTTCAAATTCAAGGCTAGCCTGGGATACATACTAAATTCCACTCCAGCCCAGGCTACAGAGTGAGACTCTCCCTCAAAAAACCAAAACTTTTTTTTTTAAATCTAATTATTTGAGTGGTCTTTAGCAATAAGATTATTTTCATGTTTAATAAGTTTATTATCGGGCTGGAGAGATGGCTTAGTGGTTAAGAGCACTGGCTGCTCTGCCAGAGGTTGTGAGTTCAATTCCCAGCAACCACATGGTGGTTCAAAACCATCTGTAATGAGATCTGGTGCCCTCTTCTGGCATGTGGGCATACATGGAGGCAGAATGTTGTACACATAATAAATAAAATAAATCTTAAAAAAAAAAATAAGTTTATTATCATTTGTCCATTGATTCTTTAAACATACTTGTACTACAGGGCCTGAGTTGTAGTTTGGGACTAGAGTGCAAACCTCTGAGTTCAGTTTCCACTGTACGTGCCTGCATGTGTGCGCAGACACGCCAAAAAATTAGTGATTACAAGATATTTGAGTAAGAATTCTAAAGCTAGAACCCAGCTAACATGGAAAAGGAAACTTCACAGGTTTCCAACCATAGACAAAGAATTGCAGGCAACTAAGGAATGCTGAGAGTAGGGGAAAGTCTTCTCTGGTGTCGTAGAGTTACTGTTGCTGTGATGAAACACTGTGACCAAAGCTGCTTGGGGAGGAGAGGGTTGGTTTGGTTTATGCTTCTACATCATGGTTCATTACTTAAGGAATTCAGGATGGGAACTCAAACAGGGCAGGAACCTCTCCAGCTCCATTAGCAGTAGCTGATGCAGAGGCCATGGAGGCATGCATGCTACTTACTGGCTTGCTCCTATGGCTTGCTCAGCCTTCTTATAGAACCCAGGACCACTGACCTAGGGATGGTACCACCCACAATAGGCTGAACCTTCCCACATCATTCACTAGTTAAGAAAATGCCCTATAGCTGGTTCTTATGGAGCCATTTCCTCAATTGAGGTTCCCTCCTTTCAGATAATTCTAGCTTGTATCAAGTTGACATTAAATTGTCCAGCACACCAAGGGAAGAGGCCGTTGGTTATCCAACACCAAGTGGTCAGCCCTGAAATCATATGCATACAAGTAACATTATATGGATTGAGCAGGGTGTACATGTGTGTGTGTGCACGTGTGCGCACACACACATATACACACAACAACAATTAAAAATTAAGAGACTAGAGACCATGTATTTGGGTGGGGAGAAGGGATAAAATGAATTATGTAATTACGTTTAAATTTGAAAAAAAATTTAAAAAATTAGGCCTTAAAGGTGGTTCTCCAAATACACATGTAAAAGATGAATTGTGCTAGCAGCTCAAGTGGATAGCCATTCAGAGAAAAGAAAAAGGAGAGGAGAGTTCCTGTCCTATATTAGATTAAATGCCAAGCACATCAGACTAAAGGGAGACAAACAGGAAAGTATTTAACAAGTGAACATATCTTGGGTTGTCAAAGCTGTTTTGAGCAAGATATTGTACCCATAGGCCATAAGCTTAAATGAGAAAATTTAGTTAGATATAAATTACATTTGGGAGTAGTCAACTTTATATGAAGTAAAAATTGGAAATTGTATACATAGCAATGAGCTCTTTTATGCGTTCGTGAAAGAGATCTCTAGGAATGAGTAAGAAAATGTATAGTGGGACTGGAGAGATGGCTCAGAGGTTGAGTATCTGGCTGGTCTTCCAGAGGACCTAGGTTCAGTTCCCAGCACCGCAGGGCCACTCACAGCCATCTCTAACTCCAGTTCTGGCTCCCTCTTCTGTAATCTTTGGGTAGTGCATGCACATGGTACAAAGAACATGCAGGCAAAACACCCATACACATACAATAGTAAATTCTTAGAAAATATTTCAAATGGTTCTGGATAAATACAGTTTGGAAAAATAAAAATGGCAAATTTACATATATTTTAAGAACTATCCTTACTATAATTACATACAAATTGTAGTGTCTGGACAGAGAAAGTGGATTACAAGCAGAGTATGATGCCAGAAAGGCAGCCTTATTAAATTTCTGTATGAACTTCTACAGTACTATAAGACCATCAGTAATATGACTGGGAAACAGAGCCCAGTTCTACCCTTAGAGATATATATGCATGTTTGTATGTATGTATGTACTTTGAAAAAGACAGAATGAAGTTGTAGTGGTATGGGGTAGTGATCTGGACTTTATTTTCACCTTTGTGAGATAAACACAGGTTCTTTCTATAATTGAAAATAGTTAGCTCTGGGGGACTTAGAATCTTTCATCTGGATAATTATCCATAGAGGATAAGAATTTACTTGGGCACATACTTTGTGTCTTTTATGTCTTTAGAAATTTATAAAAGAAAAAGTATTTTATCAAAATTTAACTAAAATTAAAAGAGAAGGTAGGAAAGGGTTTGGATAGCTGAGTTGCTACTGATTAGTTAGCCCTTTTATTATTTTAACTGGTGCCCTTTCCATATATATCTCTGAGAATTCCTTTAATATCCTTAAAGAAGGTAAGGCATCTTGCTATGTTTGACTCAGACATGGTGCTCATCAGGTAACGTGTGATAATTGGAGTTGGCTACATGGGAACAATAAACAAGTCTGTGGTCCTTTTACACCACTGGCTAAATGTTTGAGCAAGAGAGGATTTCTTTGTGTAAAGAAACTATTGTAAGCTGGCTGTATGGAAACCATTCAGTCTCCAAAAGCTCTTAACTGCTGAAAGACCTTTCTAGTCCCTTCCTTTGTCTTTTATTTTCTTTTTAAGAGAACAGTCAACATCAGTTTTATAAAACAAATTACTTTCCCAGACATTTCAAAAAAAAATTAGAAGAAAATTAAAAGCATCCATTTTAGTAATAGTGGCTAACACCATAATTCCTCTCTAGATTCCATGGTAGACAATTAGGATTAGTTTAGATGCCTTGGAACTGTGAGTATAAAACTCCCAGATTTCTGTTTATTACCTGTATGAGTTAGAGGTATAATCTCTGATAATAAACCATGGGAAGTATAAGAATAAAGAATTTGTTGGGTGTGTTGGTGCAAAATCGGATCCAGATCATAGGAGGGCCATGAGTTGAAAGCTTGGCTAAGTGACATAGTAGTTTAAGCCAGACTGGACAACTCAGCAAAAACCCACCTACAAAATGCAAAAAGGGGTTGGGTATATAGCTCACTGTTGCCTGATCTTGTGCACACAAAGCCCCAGAGTTAACCTCAAAAAAAAATTTTTTTTTCTTCCCCACCTCTTCAGCTTAACTGGATACACAAGTATAAAGAACACTTTAGAGATGGATAAAAGTAGCAAAAATACCGATAAGGCATGATATAATTTTTCCTGTTTTAGTTCTAGAATGTTCTGAACCTTGTGAAATGTATACTGTTAATAGTACAATTTGATCTGCTAGTTTCATTCTTATTCCTGGCAGTATCTTAGAACTGCATCTGAGGTCAGGACAGTGATTGTGTTTGCCTTGGTTGCTATTGGTTAACTAGACTGACAAATGACAAAAAAAAAAAAATCTTGGTTTACTGTTGAAAAGTCAAAGCAGTATGAGATGGTTAAAAGATACATCTTTATTAGATGCCGGACGGAGTATGAAGTTAAAGACCAAGCTGCAAAAGGAGATGAAGTGACTCGGAAACGATTTCATGCGTTTGTTCTGTTTCTGGGAGAATTATACCTTAACCTGGAGGTGAGAACATTTCTTATTAGTACTTCAAGGTCTGAACATGTAAAAATGCTTCCAGGAAGGAATTTTTGTTCACATTATAATTTTACAACATCAAAAATAAAATAGAAGAAAATTAGTTCAATGACTGCTACCAGGTGATAACTGCCTGCAATCACAGCAGTTGGAGGGCATCTTGGGTTTTAGGGTAGCCCGGGCTACATAGTGAGACCCTGTCAAAGTTAAAATGAAGGGGACCAGGGTGAAAGCAAATCTTTTCATACCTAATTATATTTGAATGGAACATTGATAACTTTTGTTCTGCTCATAAGCAGAACAAAATCATAAGTCATCACTAAGCTTTTAAAAGTCCTTATATGCTCAGGAAGCCAACCCTGTCAACCAGGCAGCATCATGCTTGTAGCGGTACTCCTGCCTTAGCCCTCCCATGTCCCACAGCCAGGTCAGTGCTGGGCTATTAGCCATAGAGGATGGCCTTTTTGTGAGTCATGGTGCATTCCTTTTTCACTCTTTTGCTTTGTTTTACTTTGATTTTGAGACAGGGTTTCTCTGTGTAGCCTTGGCTGTCCTGGAACTTTTCTCTGCAGACCAGACTGGCCTCCACTTCACATAGATCCGCCTGCCTCTGCTTCCCGAGTGCTGGGATTAAAGGTGTGCGCTGCCACCACCACCCAGCCCCTCCATACACATAATAAAATAAAATACAACTTGAAATACCTGGGTTTTTTTTTTTCATGGTGGCTTAAATTACAGCGTGTTTACTGAAGCAGCACTATTGAAGTAGACTTATATTTCTATGATGTTTTATGGGTGATGAATAAGAATTAAATTTTACCTATAATCTACAGTTTTATTAGAGGTCTTACTTATATAGAGAACAATTGTAATTAGTTTGATGAAGTTATCACAGTGTGTTCCTTTAGTTTTTATATTTAACTGAATTTTGCAACTGCTTCATAGGCTATTCATATGTCTGTATCACATTTGAGTATTGCTGTTTTTAGTTGTCCTACTGTTTCTTCTCCTAAAGATCAAAGGAACAAATGGGCAGGTTACAAGAGCAGATATTCTTCAGGTTGGTCTCCGGGAACTGCTGAATGCTCTGTTCACTAATCCTATGGATGACAACTTAATTTGTGCAGTAAAATTGCTAAAGGTTGGTTTTTCTTTAAAATTCCTTTTTAACATTATTTTGTGTGTGCTTGTGCATACCTGGAAGTTAAAAGACACTTTGAAGGGGTTTCCTTTCTATCATGTGATTCTGGGAATTAAACTCTGATTATTGGAAATCTTCCATCCCAGCCCATTTGTAAATTCCCCTTTTTTTGGTTTGTGTGCCCTTACAAAAAAGTTCTTAGTCTATTTTAGCTTTTTATTTTTGACTCCCAGATGAAAGTTTTAAATCAATCTGGAGAGATTTAGCTCTGTATTGAATACCTTCTTAGTATTCTATTGTATTCAGACTTTTGCTAATATCTATTATTTTAATGAACACTTGGGCTGTTGTGCATTTGGCTGTTGTAGTACTGCTAGTAGTCTTCCATTATCTCTTTATAGATACTTTTGAAGATTAAATTTTTGAACAGATTCAGAGGGTCAGTGAACATAAGTATTTTATATTGACAGATAATATCCAAGTTTGCTGAGCTACAGCTCTGTACTCTTCCTAGTAATGAATGAGTATACCTTTCTCCACATCTTCAGGGAAAGTGGGATCAGCTTGGGTTTGCTTTTGTCATGGTGAAATAAAAATCCTCACAATAATTTGAAGTTACCTGATTGGTAGTCAATTTAAGCATTCCTTCATGGTTGCTGGCCATGTTTGTTTCTGTGAATGGCCTGTTCATATCTTGTTCATATCTTTAATTTCTTTCTTTTAAAACATTGTGTGTGTGGGGGGGGTGCGTGCGCCTGTACCTATGGTTTAAGAAGGTGTCACAGTGTAGATCTGGCCATCCTGAAACTAGCTCTGGACCACGCTGACCTCAAACTCACAGATCTGCCTGCCTCTGCCTCCCAGGTGCTGGGATTAAAGGTGTGCACCACAACATCTGACGTTGATTATTTTTGAAAAAGAGACATGCCTTAAAATTTAATAGCTAATCTTAGTCATAGAGGAACTATAACATAATTATGGATGTGAAACCGTATAGCTTTATTTTCTAATTAGTCAAAGCATAGATGGTATAGACGTCTCCGAATAGAGACAGTCGGCAGAGAATAATTGGAAATATCTAACCATTAAATTCATCTTGTTTAAAAAATAAAGTTTCAACTTTTGCTAATACCTTTTAAAAATCTCTCCTCTATTGCATTCTTATTTTACTGACATCTGTGCTTTTAGTTGACAGGATCAGTTTTAGAAGATACTTGGAAGGAAAAGGGGAAAACTGATATGGAAGAAATAATTCAGAGAATTGAAAATGTTGTCCTAGATGCAAACTGCAGCAGGTAGGAAAGAAGAAGCTAGTAGATGTCAGACTTTTCTCCTTCTGGTTTTTGTTTTTCTTCTTCTTCTTAGGATTTTGAATCATTATTACTTCATTAAAGTGATTAAGATTATGGGTCAGTTTAGTATTTTGCCTATGACATGTTGCTACTAAGTTTTGTTCAGCTATACTTAAAAACTTAAAATTTTCTTTGTGGTAAGATATGATGAGTCTATTGAGAAAGAAAATGATGTAGACTTTAAACATGAACCTAGTGTTTGTGTAGTGAACTTTACCATAAGTAATATAAAAGACCAGTGTAATTCATGACCATAATATAAGTCCGAGTTAAGTAGATCAGATTTCAAGTTTTTTGTTTTGTTGTTTTATCAAGACAGGGTCTCACAATGTACCCGTCTTTTAACTCACTAATGACCAGGCTGGCCTCAAACCTATAGAGATCTGCCTGCCTCTGCCTCCCAAGTGCTGGAATTAAAGGTGTGTACCAGTAAGCCCAGTTTCAAGCTTGTTTTTTTAAAAGTAAAAGAATAATACAGTGAATTATGTCATTGAAAATGTCTAGAAGTTTAAAGCATTGGGTGTCTGTTAAGTTGTAACTAGAGCCTCGCTAGAAATATTTTAGAGCCTCACAGCACTTGGGCAGTAGATGCATATTAATTTGATTTCTAATTTTTGTCTGTAGAGATGTAAAACAGATGCTCTTGAAGCTTGTAGAACTTCGATCAAGTAACTGGGGCAGGGTCCATGCAACTTCAACATACAGAGAAGCTACCCCTGAAAATGACCCTAACTACTTCATGGTATGCCATGTTTGTGTTTTAAGTCTCACTTAATGCTTTGTCTTAGTTACTTTTCTGTAGCTGTGATAAAACACCATGACCAAGGCAACTTAGAAAAGAAAGCTTTAATCGAGCCTGGGATTGCAGAGTGTTAAGAGTTTACAGTGGTGGAGCAAAGGCACAGGTAGGAACAGCTGGGAGCTCACATCTCCCTCCACAAACAAAAGTCAGAGCACACTGGGAAATGACATCAGAATTTTTTGAAACCTCACATCCTGCCTCCAGGACACACTTCCTCCAGCAAAGCCACATCTAATCCTTCCCAAACAATTCACCAACTGCAGACCAGGTATTCTAACAAATGAGCCTGTAGGGGCTCTTCTTGTTCAAACCACCACCACATGGTGAATTCAGTATTGGAAATTGAGTTATATAAAACTATTCTCATAATCCAGTGCCAATTAAACATTTTTATCGCCACAGGAGCCAGTAAGGAGATCATGTAAATAGATCCTCTAGTGAAAAGGAGACTAAATCAAGATCATCCACTGTCAAGATGGATGTAGTAGTAATGTGAAAAAGACCAGGACGGTGATGCCCTATAGTTTCTGACATCACCAGATGTGTAGCAGCTACAAAGGAATGCTCAACCCTTAAAAACTTCTTAACTTGTAAAATGGCAGGATAATAAGAAAACAAAGCTAAAAGCTAATTCAGCCAGGGATGGATCAATACTAGACAGCAGGACCTAGAACCGCAGAAGGCGAGCAAAACCTAAAAGGTGGAAACCTAAAAGCCATGTGCATTCCCAGTAAATTGGAGGGACTGTTAGGATGTTGGGCTTGCTTGTTTGTGTACAGTATTAACTGCAGGTGATTGATCTCAGCCATACTACTTTAATGTATTTCAAACTGAGCACCTACTTTTTATCATTTTGATTTATCCTAGAATGAACCAACATTTTATACATCTGATGGTGTTCCTTTCACTGCTGCTGACCCAGGTATGTTGTCTCAGTCACTTTCCCCCTATTTTTTAAGTAGTAAATTACATAAAGACTCTTTGATAGTATTAAGTATGACATTTTTTCTTCAGTGGGGGGTGTTGTTTTGTTTTTCTCTCTAATAACTCTAGCTGTCCTAGAACTGCCTTTGTAGACCAGGCTGGCCTCAAACTCACAGAGATCCGCCTACCTCTGCTTCCAGAGTGCTGGAAAGAAAAGCCTGCACCACCACTGCCTGGAAGGGTTCATATATTATAAGATTGTAGGGCTACAATTTGTCAAGTGTTGTATTTAAGTTGATTACTTGGGACTATTCTGGGTGATTTGTTTTAGTGTCTTGTCACTTTACCAGTCAGAGATCTCCTCCCTCAGTTAAGGACAGCCATTTTTATTTTGTGCTTCTTCTTACTTGTTTTTTATCTTAACTTTTCCGATGATTAGCATAGACGGTAAAGACAGCTTATATTAAAGTTATTGCAGTTACTAAGAATTACAGACTGCATTAGTGTCCATGATTCAGAGCAAATTAAAATTCAAGTCTCTGTGTACCTTCCAGTAAAGGGTTATTTATAGAAAAATGGCAGTAGTTGTGACAGGTGGAACTGTAGACTGAAAGAGAGAAAGTCTTCCAATTTAGTGCACACTACAACCCGCTACAATTGGGGTTTTTTTTCCAGTCTTTTCCTCCAAATAACAACATTGACTGTCATGTGCCTCTGACATAAGAGTCTGTAGGATGAGGAAGTAGAACTAAGTTATAAGGTGAGCATCTTCAGCTTCACTAACGCCAGTGTTGCGAGAATTGCTTTTCAGCAATGGTCGTTTCATTTAGTTTCCCGACCCACAGCTTAGATGACTTTTGTTTTTTATTCTTGGCAACACTTAATAGGTATAATTTCTGTCAACCCAACTATATGAAATTCTATGTAGTTATTTTCATGACAATAATACTGAATTTCTTCTGTGTGTTAACCTTTGATTTTTTTTTTTTTCATTGAAAATTGCCTCTTGGTTGTCTTTTCCCCATATTTCTTCTGGGGTTATTTGTCTTACTGATTTGTGATTCCTTACAAAGTCTAGAAAAAGATGATCTTGGTCATTTAACGGTTTTATCCCTTTGTGCTATGTGACTATCTTTCCATTTTATTTATAATGTATTTTCATATACATACTTTGAGCTTTAATTTATCAGTTGTTTGTGCTGATTTTTACTTAATTACATTTTATTTTCTTCTAAAAATCATACTTTGCTGTTTTCCTATTTATCTACCTAATTTTTACATAGAAAGTATTTAGTTTTTAAATATTTTTCACTGTTTTGTTTTAGCAGCAGATATTAACTTAATCTTCCTCTCTTAGTTATAATTAAGCTACCTATGGTATGCTAAATAATATTGATCTTGGGATTCTTTGTCCGTATACTTGTCTTCATATACCAGTAACCCATTCTTTACTAGTCTTATGTAAATCATGCTGTTTCTGGTAAGACAGATCTTAATCTTTAAAAAGAAAAGAAAATTACTTCAGTGTCAAATTTTTATTGCAAGCTCTTTTTTTTTTAAATATTTATTTATTTATTATGTATACATTATTCTGTCTGTGTATGCCTGCAGGCCAGAAGAGGGCACCAGACCCCATTACAGATGGTTGTGAGCCACCATGTGGTTGCTGGGAATTGAACTCAGGACCTTTGGAAGAGCAGGCAATGCTCTTAACCGCTGAGCCATCTCTCCAGCCCCTGCAAGCTCATTTTTGTCTTTTAGAAATTAACTTCAAAATTACAGAGAAGTAAAAATTGCACAAAGAATATCCATTTGGCCATTTCCCAGGTGTTCTTTTGATAATGATTTACCCAGCTTATCTTTTTCCCTGTCTCCACACATTTTACTTTCTTAAACCATTTGCATTAGCTGTTTCAGTATGAATGGGGTAGTGATTTTAACCTTTATTTATTTATTTATTTATTTATTTATTTATTTTGATTAAAAAAGTCTTATCCCTTGGGCTGTAGGAACCTGTACCCAAAATAGATTTAGATTTGCTTTTGCCTGGAGCCACAGGTATATCACTAACTTGCGAACACTTGGATGGTTGGGTTTTGGTTCTTTTGGTTTTTCCTCATGGGCTTTTTTTTTTTTTTTTTTTTTTTATGTGGAGATTAGAAATTCGAGGTCAAATAGGCTGTTACAAACTCTGGGTAAACGATTTCTTCAGAGTGCCTGGCCTCATTCCATTCTCAAACATATAATCAACCTTTGTTTGCCACTGAGGTGTTTTATTTGCTTTTCCAGATCCATCCTTTTAAGATGTCAACCCTTAGATGTTTATGAAGGATGAGAGATAGGTATATAGAGCATGAGTTCTATCTTCCTGTTCTACACAGACCTAGGGCCTTGCTTTTGAATGTTTGTGTGTTTTAAATGCCAAGCCCCTTGATGACTGAAACTGTTCCCCACCCCCACCCCCTGTGAGCCTCCAAGCTGTACTGTATATGCATGATGTGGAGTTCCTGTTGGCCTGTGTTGATACATCTAAAAGAATATCATACGTAAAGTACTTAAGCAAGAAATCTTTATGCTTAAATTTTCTCCAACTTGTCAAAATTGGAATGTCACCAACGCCTGATATTTAGAGTTTTATAAAGACAGTCTTGGAAAAGCTTGGCCCTAACCCAGAAATATTCCCTCAAAACGGGAATGAAGATTAGCCGGGTGTGGTGGAGACCTATAATCCTGCCTACTCTGGAGGTAGAGTCAGGAGGCTTACAACACAGGCCTGGGCAACTCAGTAAGATCCTGGTTCAAGATAAAAATTGAGCCAAGCGTGGTGGTATACACCTTTGATCCCAGTGTTTGGAGGCAGAGGCAGGAGAATCTCTGTAAGTTCAATGGTGGCCTGGTTGGCATAGGCAGTTTCCACAGCAGCCCGGACCACAACAACAGACCCCTCCCTGCTTCTCTCTCTTATACACACACACACACACACACACACACACACACTCACTCACAAACCAAAACCTATAAAAAGTATAAAGAGCCTGGTGTGGTGGCACACACCTTTATCCCCAACAATTGGCAGGTGAAGCCTGGAGTTTCTCCTGAGCTCAAGGCCCACCTGGTCTACCTAAAGAGTTCCAGGACAGTCAGCTACAGAAATCCTCTCAAACAAAAAGTTACGAGATTTTGGGGTTATAGTTCAGTTGTAGAGTATTTGCCATAGTATATGGGAGACCTGAGGTTCAGTCTTGAGTAACTCAACTGTGAAATGTATTTACATTTAAAATGATAGTGTGTATAAATATTTTAAGGTTTGTGAGCATGCAAGGAAACGAGCAAGCCGAATAGAATATAAATTTTATGAAGATATATTATGTAATTACTACTATTTAAACAATGGTCTTCTTAAAGTCATTAAGAGACTATAGAGACAAAACTGTTCATTTCATAGGATTATTCACTCGTTTTTTTTCCCTGTATTGTCTTGTAGATTACCAAGAGAAGTATCAGGAGTTACTTGAAAGAGAGGACTTTTTTCCAGATTATGAAGAAAATGGAACAGATTTATCAGGGGCTGGTGACCCGTAAGTTCTCCTTTTCATTACTGATAGTCTTTGTTTATCCGTGTTCTTGTGCATGTGTGTGCGTGCATGTGGAGGCCAAAGGTTGGTGTCAGGTGTCTCCTTTAGTCACTGTTCACATGATTTTGAATCGGGTCTCTTGCTAAACCTGGAAGTAACTGATTTCACTTAGGTTGACTGACCTATAGGAATACGCCTTTCCTACCTCCCCAGATCTGAGATTACAGTCACTAGTCAGCACACCCAGCTTTTTTGCATGCGTACTGAGCTAAACTCAGGACTGTGTGCTCCGCAGCAACTGCTTTATTCTGAACCATTCCCCTCAACCCCTTATTACTCATTCTTTATGAAGCTTCTGTGACCAAGTTTTGAGATAACTAAACTAGAAGAACAATTATAAAAGAATGGCATTCAAGGGCCAGCAAGATGGCTCAGCTGGTAGAAATACTTCTTCACAAGCCTTATGACTTGCATTCCATTCCTGGACCCCTCCTTGGAATGATGGATGCAGAAAGCCGACTTCAGAGTTGCCTGTTCCCTGCCTTCCAGTAGGCAGCTAAGTGCTGTACTACAGGAGTGCACCACCATGCTGCAATGCTTGTGTATTTACAGATGCTGGAACCGGAGGGACAGGGCTTTCTGGATTACGTAATCTCAAAAGTAGCTTCCTGTTACAGTCTGATTTTAGATACATGGCAAAGTGACCTGTCACTGTGAGAAGAGCCTTGCAGAAATAAGGTTTTTTGTTATTGTTTTTTGTTTTTGTATTTTTTTTATTTTTTAAAAAAGAAAACAAACTATCTTTTTCATTTTATACAGTATCCCAGTTCCCACTCCCTCCCCTCCTTCCATTCGCTCCACTCCACCTTCCCCGCAACCCCAGTCCCCATCCATTCCTCAGAGAGGGTAAGACACATTGCTTTGGGGAAGATCCAAGGCCCTCCCTACTATATCTAGGCTGAGCAAGGTATTCATCCAGAAAGAATGGGTTCCCAAAAAGTCAGTACAAGAAGTAGGGATAAATCCTGGTGCCACTACCAGTGGCCCTGCAGTCTGCCCCAGCCATACAACTGTTACCTACATTCAGAGGGTCTAGTTTGGTCCTAACTTGTCCCTTCCCGGTCTGGCTGGAGTTGGTGAGCTCCCATTAGCTCAGGTAGACTGTTTCAGTGGGTGTTCCCATCATATGACCCCTTTGCTCATATTCTCACTCCTCCCACTTTTCAGCTGGACTTTGTGAGCTCAGCCTAGTGCTTTGCTGCGTGTCTTTGCCTGTTTCCTTCAGTTGCTGATGAATGTTCTATGGTAACATTTAAGATACTCATCACAGGGCTGGAGAGATGCCTCAGGGATTAAGAGCACTGGCTATTCTTCCAAAGGACCCAGGTTCAATTCCCAGCAGCCAAATGGCAGCTCACAACTGTCTGTAACTCCCAACTCAAGAGGACCCGAGGACACCTTCACACAGACACAAATGCAGGCAATACACCAATGTATATAAAAATAAATATATCTTTAAAGAAAAAAAAAGAGCACTTGCTCCTCTTCCAGAGGACTGGGGTTTGATTCTCAGTATCCATATCTGGTGGCTCACAACCACCTTCAACTCTAGCTTGAGTGGAACCAACGCTCTCTTCTGACCAGTACACATGTTACATATATGGACACAGATACTTACATACAAATAAATAAATAAATGATGTTCATCACAGAAATAAGTTTAATGTTAATTAAGCGTAACTACTGGAAGGGTAAAACTTTTTGAATGGAATAAAAAATCATAGGCAGACATCATTTCTGAAATCATGTTCTAGTTAAAGTATTAAGAAGGTGTGGACTTATACATGTCAAGCCTTCTATTAACTTTTAAATGCACATATCTAAAAACAATTCAGTCTAGGAAAGTACGCTTAACATCTCCAGACATTTCAACATTTTGAAGAATAGTAAAGTCACATAATCATTTTTGGCTTCTTTTGCAGATATTTGGACGATATTGATGATGAGATGGACCCAGAGATTGAAGAAGCTTATGAAAAGTTTTGTTTAGAATCAGAGCGTAAGCGAAAACAGTAAAGTTAAATCTGAGGCTATCAGGGTTTTTGTTTTGTTTTTTGGGTTTTTTTTTTTTTTTTTTAAGTTTAGGTCTGGTGATTTAGCAGAGCACAGGAAAGCAAGAAACTGTGTCAGGCTTATACCAAATTAAGGATGTTGAGTTATGTTACTAATGTATGCAACTTTAATTTTGTTTTAACACTACCTGCCAAAATAAACTTTATTCCCTGTAACTTAAAAATGTGTATATATATATAATAGTTTTATTATGTACAGTTAATTCTACTGTTTTGGCTGCAATAAAGTCGATTTTGAAATAAATGAAATGTTGAAAGAAAATTTTGCTAGCTGATTAGATGCTTATCGTTCAACTTTTTCTTGAGGTGGAAAGTCTTAGCCTGGAATTACATATTACTGCCAAAATGTAGCATTCTCTTTTAGGTATGACTATTACAGATTTTATTTTAGTTTAACATTTATTTCTCTATAAATTTAGTTTCAAATACTAATCATGATCATGAAAATCTTTAGCACCAAAGTCTTGGGGAATATAAACAACTTATTACATATGTAGATGCTATTTGTTATCAAGGGCTTTTAAACTGTCCTTAATTGAGGGGTGGGTGGGGCTTAGAACACCAGCTAAGGAGCCAAGACTTCATTGAGGATTTATTCCAATTCAAGAATCATTTTCTCTGTTTGACTTGACTAACTTCATCGCCCTCCATCCTACAGCATTACTCTGCTTTCTTTATAAGGCGTTCTCATTTTTATTTCACAGCATGGATTGCATTGACTTTTTACCAGAGAACTGGCGTAGGTGTTTGTCATTCAGGTTTTCATCTGCTTTATAATTGATGTGCCGTGAATATCACTTTTCTAATACTTTTACTATACTGTACCACCTTGGCCCTATTTAAGTAATGTTTTTACCTACTGTCAAATCTTTTTCCAACTAACTAAAAAATAAGAAAGGGTTGCTTGTACATATGCATGTAAATAGTTGTGTTAATATTAACACTCACTGTTTTACATTTGGTACATCTGTCTGCTTATACAGTTAGTTTTCTCACTTTTCTGCTTGTTTGTTCATCTGTATTAAAATTAGAATTTGAAAATAAAACTTAGTTTTGTTCTAAGTTTTTGAAATGGTATTTTAAGGAATTTGTTGTTAACCTTGCTTACATGAAATAAATTAAAGGTTTAGAAGTTAGAGAAATTGTAAGATGGAGATATTCAATACTCAGTCTGGGAAATTAACAAATACATTAATTTCTAGAGTCCATGTTATTACATAGTTGGGTGTTTTGGAATTTGTCATATCAGCACAGACTGCAGTCTTGGAACATAATAGTTACAGCACATTAGAGCAGATACCCAGAGATAACCGGGCTGCGTATGTTTTAGACATCTAGTGGTCATTGTGTAAACATCCAGTATTTGACACCAGCCTACTGTCACCAGTACTGTACTCAGTGTAACTATTAACAGAATCTACCTGCATGGTATATTCTACATAAAAAAAAAAAAAAAAAAACTACCCAGGGTCTGGTGCTAGTTCATCTGCTTAGCATGAGAAGGCCTTAAGTTCACTCCCTAGAATGATAAGAACCACCTTAGATGTGAAAACGGTGGACTGGTGATAGGTAGCTTGAGCAGCTGTGGGCTATAATCATTGGAGCCATTTGTGGCGATGAGGACTTAAGCTAGGTCTAGACCTGAGGCGTTGACCAGAATTTTGACAATTTGCAGATGGCTGCTTCGTTTCCCTTTGAACTCTCACAGTATTTTGACTGGATTCTGAGACTGAGCATGTCAAAACAGGAAGAAGCTGCATTAAGAAGCCATGTAGCCGCATTTACTTTCTTGGTTCTAAGTTTATAACCATATCATGAGTTGGTCCTGTGTTATGTTGTCTTGTAGATTGCATGTCTTCACAAGTATGGACGCCTCGTAGAAATAGGAATACAGTGCTTTCCAGTGAGCATAGTAATGTCGGTCATGAGTTGTGACAACAGAACAAATACTGGTCTTAACCAGTTATCAACTTTGGCACAGTTCTAGCTCGAAGGCAAGAACATACTATATCTCAGTAGCCTGGATTTGTCACCGTGATGGAGAATATATACTCTGGGGAACCATAGGGCTTATCTACAAGAGGGTGCTAGAATTTAAAATCGGACTTAGTCTTTGGGAAATGCTGTAGGCATTCCACTGAATCTTAGCTGCAGCTAGGACACAAGTGTAGACCTTTTTTGTTATTAAAAGAGGGGATGGTCCTATTTAAGTGAGAGGAGGGTGTTTGGTAGGATTATAGAAAACCTGTTAATGGCCTAGAGTCAGCTCAAACAAAAAGGAAAAAAGCCCCTTTCCTATCAGGTTCTGAGGGTGGGCACACACAGCCAGCTGCCAAGTTAACAGAACATGTTTTCATCCAAAGTCTTAGAGCAGCTGTGAAGTACCACTGTGACACTCACCTTGTGGCTGGAACCATTGCTTTGTTTCCAGCACTCTGCCCAGGAACTGCTTCTGCTGGTCTATCACTGGAGAGACCCAGTTCCTAAACTCTTGTTTCATGGCAGCACTCAAATTCTGTTTCTTCTATTGCTGCAGAAACAGCCTCTCCCTACAAACTGGTCTCCCTTCCCTTAGGACCTCTTCAGAATCTTTCATCAGGAACTCAAAGTTTAGTAAATGATGCCCTTATGGAGGATACGCTTCCAGTTTTGCCAACAAACAGGCCTGAGCCTGGTGGTGTTTAGCCTTTGGCAGATGCCGCTGCCCTGTGATGTCGGCCTAGCAAAAATGAACCCTGTGAGTACAGCACAGCATTTAGAAGTCATGCCGCCAGAAGTCGTGATTCTGGCGGACCTGTGCCATTGTAAATCAGTCACCACTGTTACTGGGACTGGCTCTACTGCTAGTGATTATTGTGTTCCCTCTGTCCGTTTTTAATTGCTTCATTCCTCCTCTAACCTTTCATTACCTAATTAGTTGCTTTACAGGAAAAACATTAAAAGTCAAATGCACACAAGTATGTCTGTGTCCACTTTTATCTTCTCTTCGTCTACAGGAAGCATCCTAAGTGTTCCTGCCTCTTTCATGAATTCTGTTGTTATGGTTGGTGGGGTTTCTTATTTTGCTTTTTCTTGCTTTCTTTTAATCTGGCTTTTGTTTTTGTGAGCTGCTCCCCATGCCATTCTTACCAAATAAAAATAAAATCTGGCTACCTAATTTTTATTGTACCAGAGTCCTATGGTCTTCTCAAGTGGCCCAAATTTATCCATTTCCTTGTCACTTATTTGTTCTTCAAATCCATTATGCTTCCTTTCCTGCTATATGCAATGGTTCTCACTAAAATCACCAATGACCCTGGTCCCTGCCTCATTAAACCTAATAGATCTTTGTTTCAGCTTCCTCTCTGGCAATACTAACAACAAAATTAAAAACATCTAAGGATAATTTGCTTTCTCTGCTCTTCTGCAGTTCTTTTGTGGGCTCTTTACCTGTTTCTTTTAATTAAAAAAAAATTATTTTGTATGTCTGGGTTCTTAGCCTGCATGGACCAGTGTGTCCCTGGTACCCAGGGAGGCCAGAATAGTGTCTGATACCCTGAAGTGGAGTTATAGAATTGGGAATTGAACTCAGGTCCTCTAGAAGAGCAGCCAGTGCTCTTAACTACTGAGCCATCTCTCCAGTCCCCTTAACTTTTTAATATCACATTCTTTGTTTCATTCTTTTAAGTCTTCACCTAGCATGTAAACAGCCGTTGCTCTCCAGACAAATCTAGTTACAATTTTCACCAAGTGAACTCAAAAATTTTAAGTTTAGTTCAAACTTTTCCTAAATTCTTTTTCATTTCTGCCACCTTCCCACTTGCCCAAACCAGAAATTTGGGCAGTCTTAGAGTCTAGTTCCAGGTCTAGTAATTCCCCAGAATATAATTATCTAAATAATTGCTGGGGCTGCTGTCTCCTTAGTGCTGAGAACCTACAGTCTATCTCTCATTATTTGTTCACAAGCCTTCTACTGAGCTCTTCATATCCATGCCCACAATTCCATTCTCCATCAGCAGTTCCAGAAATCTTTCAAAATTTCATGAAATCTCTTGTAGAAATTTCACTCAGGTCTCAAACACTGGAAGGACAATGGCCAGGGGTGGAAAACTGCAGTGTACAACGTGCCGTGGCAGGTCATTAGAAATTAAACTTAAGGATGCCTTTATATAAGATTGGAATCAATTTGCATATCAGTGTTTTTTTTCAAATGATGGTTGAGTTTAGACTTTTTTTCCCAGTCCCTTGATGCCATCTTTGCTTAAAGCCCTTACATTAAACAAGTATACCCATAAAACTTTAAAAAAAAAAGTTGCCTAGATTTATTAATTTAGAATCAGAAAATCCCCTCAAGTCTGGCTCCATTCATAGTGACCTGTGATGCTTCCTGCCTCCTTCCTCACTAACCATGCTTTAGCCTGTAAAGGAAATCATCTTTCCCTTGGACTGTTCAGAGTCTGCTTGTACTTAGCAAGCACCTATTTAAAACTCCAGACTTTGAGGTGTGGCCATATGGGTTATGCTCCTGTGGAGAGATTTGCTCCCCCCCCCCCATTTGCTCTGAGCTCATGGTCATATTGGAGGCCGTAAGGCAGCCCACGGAGGTCTGCTTTACTACCAAGAGGTGTCTGGATTGTTGTGGACACTGTCTACAATCTGGAGGCCAGACTATTATAATTGTTGAGGGGTGGGGAGTTGGTGGGCGGAGATCACGGCCAGCCTGGTCTACAGAGCGCGTTCCAGGATAGCCAGGGCTGCACCAAGAAATCCTGTCTCAACAAACACAAACCCTTCAGGTTTCACTGGAAATATTTTTTTCAGTCTGCTATATGCGCTTATAGAGTGCTGTGGGTTTTTTTTTTAATCTTAGGAACACCCATAATTAATCATTATTTTGTCTTCCCAGTCACTCTCCAATCCACATCCTGACTTCAGTGAATTGGGCTAATCTGTTTGTACACGTCTAAAGGCGATAAAATAGGAATTAGAAAATACTTCCTGGCATTTCTTAAAACAAGTAGTCTCGATATTTTCCATTACTTTTTTAAGAATTTAATCACTCCGCTAAAACCTATCCTTGAGTTAGTGGTTGCCTGATATGGGAGAAGAGTGGTCCACAAACCTAATTCCAATCGAACTTCAATTTTCTTAGAGGGACTGAATTCTCAGTAAGTGGATACCAGAGTCCGACCCGGAAATACCCGTCCTCTTTCGGTCCGGCCCTTTGCAGCGAGAGGCGGGACTTCCGATCTCACTTTTTCCGGAGGCGGTGCTTTCTTCTCGGTGCGGGAGGTTCAAACTGCTACCTCGATGTTTTGTTTTTCCTTTTCGTCTCCGGCTCGCCGCTGCTGCCTCAGCCGCCCGGACTTGAACGAAAGTCTCAATCGAAACACTTCTTGTGTCCATGTCTTCCGCAGATGAGATTATTTTCCTTCATCAAGAAGTATCACTCGGAAGTTACTAGATTACGGAAGTAACCCCGGAGAAGCAGTCGCGAAGGACACGGTTTCTGCCATTTGAGCAAAACAGAGGTCGGTCAGAGGCCTTGGCTTCTCTCCCATCGATGTGGAAAACAACCTCCCAGCAGCCCAGAACTGCCTGCCGCGTGAGTGTCAGAGGTTTGGTGGCGGTCTTGAGGGCGTGTACCCGCCCCTTTCTCTTTCCCCGGGTAACTAGACTCTATTTTGAAAAGCGAGGTTTCAACATGCAGAACAGACAAGGTTTTCCAGTTCGTTATACCAGACACGATGTGTTGAATGATGGGAATGCAAACCAAAATGATGGGAAGAAAACGATGCAGAGGAGGCCAAAAATGCGTAATCTGTGGTAGCGCCAAGAACTTTTAAACACTACACTCTATTGTCTATACGCGATTATTTAAATAATAACTTCAGTAAAGGTGCTATATGGAAAGTACAAAGGAAGTGATTCCATTTCCCAGGCTGGTATCAGGAAAGAGACTCTGCTATGCGTCAGCACGTGTTTTCTCCTAAAATACCAGACATGCGTGTTTGCACATATATATCACCACCTGTTGCCAAGGTGTTTGTTCATTGACATTGAGTAAATACGTAAACAAGGAATGTAAAAGAGTGCGGTCTGAGTTCTGGGACGTTAACTGTGACCGGAATAGAGAGAAAAACAGGAGAAAGGTCTTAGCTGTAGGAATTGAGAGATGAGCTTCCGACAAAAGGAGGTAAAGGGCCAAATTCAAGCAAGATTTTAAAAGAATCAATAGAAAACTAGTTACAGGAAGACAGCATCAAGAAGTCAGTGTCGTTAACTCATATTGCAAACTCAAGGGTAAGAAGAATTTAAACATTCATTCTTTCATTATTTGTTGAAAGTGCTTTTGCCTGACATCATTCTTTGCCTAATACTATCCCAGTGATATATTTGTGAATAAGGCAGGTGAGGGCCATTATGCGTGAGTGTCTATCCTGGTGGGCGAAAACAGACAAATAATTTCCATACTGATAAGGTCTATGAGGACAAAAGGTAAACCAGGATAAGAATGTGTAAAGCGGTTTAGCTCAGGTGATAACGTGGGCCTCTGTGCGTCGGTGTTTGTGTTGAAATGGCAGCGCTCACAAGGACTCTGTGGTGTGTTAAGCCAAGGAGAAGACGAGCTAGACAGAAAGAACGGTGCAAAGATTTTTGAAATGGACAATGCCTTGTTTCAAGAACATTTTTATAAAGCCGATATTATTAAAGTGACCTGAACCAGGGAGTTAGAGAGTGGCGTTTGGAGACATTGGTGGGCTAGATTGTGTGGCCTGCAAGCTCTAGTGTAAGAACATAGATCTGATTCTGTGTACAAATGGATAGGATTGATAGGGTCCAGCTAAAGAATGAGTTTAGGGGATGTTACAGAAGTCTGTGTTGGGTGGAAGTGCCTTTGTTCTAGTCCAGTCAGATTCCATTTTATCTGTGGTACAAAGACATAGAAGTCTGTGCTGTTAACTAACTGAAATCTCTGAAAGGAGTCGGGTAGATTTAGACGTTCTTTAGAGAAAGAAAATAACTAAAACCGTGTGAATCTTAGTAAGAGGTAGCTCATAGTTAAACCATTTGCGTGCATACAAACATACTCCACATAAGACGTTAGCTTATATTGCGCATAGCTCATTGCATATCTTAAAAAGGAAACCAAAAGATGAGGCTAAAAAGTCGCAACTGTTATTAAGCTAAGGTGTTGAGTCTCTGATTTAGGTAACGAATAAGAATGATGAAAGCAAAAACAGAAGTAGAAGCAGGGCAGAAGCCCTTAGGATCCCAAAGTGGGGTTAGAGGTAGGAGAGAGGGAAGAGTTTGGCAGAGAGGACAATGTACGGCTGTGTCACAGATTGACTGCGTCTAGTAAAGGGCTGAAGACATTGGGTGTGCAAAGACATTGGTGGCCATTATGAAACAAGGCGGGGGGAGGAGTAGAGGAGAAAGTTGGGTTGTAATAGAATGAAGATTAGCAAGAGAATACTGGCAATGAGGGTTTATGTACTTGAGAGGTTTATTGATAGGGAATGGCCATATGCTTGGGAAGTATTAACTCTGCATAGTCGTTTGTTGTTTTTGAGACTTGAGCACTTGAGTAGAAGGAGAGGATAATATAGAAGAGGGTGGGGTTCGTGTTAGAAAAGAATTAACATTTCATAAGATTTATTGAGCCCTTACATGGTGGCTTGGATAGTGGTGGGTGCTCTCTTAAACCTACCGCAGTCCTCTAACCCTCTCTTTCACATATGAGCAGACATCCCTGGCATCTGCCTAACACGTAGGGGAGTATAAATAAAGCCCATCTCCCCTTTGCCCCACATGGGTATGGAGAACAATGAGAACAGTCGTTTTAGAGGTAAGAAATAGAATTTAAGAAGTGAGAAATTCAAGACACTCAACTAACTGCTTCCTTAACTCCAGACTGGGAAGCAATAAATTGTGGTATTTGTATTTCTTCAAAGGTCTTTTTCCTTAGACTTACTAGTTACTTTTGGCCTGTCTTTTGCATGTGCTAGACTGATTTTCTGCGTTACTTTCTTTTTATTTGTTGTGGTTGCTTGTATGTGTTATGATGTGTGAGTGCAGGCATGCACGGGCTTGCAACAACTTTGTTCTCGCTTTCCATGGTGGATTCCAGGGATGCGACTCAGTTCCTCAGGCCTGCATGGCAAGCACCTTCACAGCACCTTCACGTGCCGAGCTGTCCCGCCTGCCCAGATTGCTACAAGTGTAACTGGTTTATCTGCAATGAGATCCTGAGCATACAATATACAAAACTCAACTTGAGAAACAGTGAAGCCAGAAAACTTAGCAGGACATTTGTAACTCTATGAACTGTCTTCTCCTTCCAGGCTATGTTCTGAACAGTGGAGTGAAGCCGTAGGGGTTACTCAAAGCTTTTAAGGAGATCATTAGATAACGGAGGGAAGACCACTGCTCTTCCGCCAGGGGTGTGCACAGTTGGCCTCCTTGTGTGTTGTCCCTGCATTCTTAGGAAATGCATGTGTTTAGCTTGGCGCAACTCTTGAGCACTCAGAAAACTGCCTGTGCTCCCATCTCCCCATTTCCTCAGGTCTGCGCCGAAGTGTGGCAGAGCTGGGCGTAGGAATGGCAGCGGAAGTACGAATGGTGCTTTACGAGGATGACTCGGTGCAGGTGCGGTATGCTGATGGCTCCACACTGCAGCTCTCTCCTTGTGGCTCAGAGTTTCTGTTTGAAAAGGCGCCTGCTCTTTCTACACACCCTTTAGAACAGCCTGAGCGAATTCGTCAGCGGACACACTTTGTCATTAGCACCTACCGGGTAAGTAACAGCACAAAAACACTCTTCTTAATACAAAGGGAAGCTGCTAGAATAGGAAAGGTAACTACGATTCTGGACTTCGGTCATTCTGAACTGATTTTCGGATAATTTTATGTTTCTTTCTCTAGGAGCAGCTTCAGCGAGCCCTGGATTTTCGAAACTCTTCGGCTACATGCCCCTTTTTATCTGAAAGCCTCATACCTCCTGAGAGAAAAAAGGTGATGTTTTAAAAGCACATTTTTATGAGTAATGCTCAGTACAGGTTAATTGTAAAGAGTTGGCTTAGCACTTGGAAATGGGCACACACAGTCCGATGTGCTGCACCAGACCACAGAAGTTACACATTCCAACTCCTTGACATTTTCTTATAGCATTTCTTTTCTATATATATAATTTATTTATTTTTATTTTATATGCATTGGCATTTTGCCTGCATATATTTCCATGTTAGATCTTGGTATACAGACAATTGTGAGCTGCCTGTGGGTGCTGGGAATTGAACCCAGGTCCTCTAGGAGATCAGTCCTTGCTCTTAACCTCTGAGCCATCTCTCCAGCCCGGATTGTAGCATTTCAAATCATGACTTTTTTATTCTCATAGGCTTCAATATTAAGAAATTTCATACATGAACTTTAGTAATTGTGTGTGGTTGTCAATGTGTAATAGGACATGAGCCTAGTTTGCTTGCCCCATGCTTCAATAAAACACTGACCAAAAGCAGCTTGGAGGGCAAAGGATTTATTTCAGTTAGTTAGTAAGTCCATCATTCGGGGAAGCCCAGGGAGGAGCTAAAGCAGAGACGTGAGGAACACTCCAACTGGCTTGCTGTCCCTGGCTCACTTAGCTTCCTGTTTTATAGTTCAGCCCCCCCTGCCCAGGGATGGTAGTACCTCCAGTGGGACAAGCTTTCCTGCATGATTGAGTCTGTGAGAGAAAATGCCTCACAGACCCGTATTATGGAGGTGTTTCCTCAGTTGAGGTTCCGTCTTTCCACGTGACTCAAGTTTGCGATTAAAAATAAAGACCTAGCCAGTATAATTTGTAATTATGTATAAGTATAAAAATTTTGCTCTTGTATCTATATGTTTTTATTCTGAGGAATAATGGTATATGGACTAGGAACTAAAAACTGTTTTTTTTTTTTTTTTTTTTTTTTGAGACAGGGTTTCTCTATGTAGCTTTAGAGCCTTCCATGGAACTCATTCTGTACACCAGGCTGGCCTCAAACTCAGAGTCCTGCCTCTGCCTCCTAAACACTGGGAGTAAAGGTGTGCACCACCACTGCCCCAAACCAATCTTAAACATACTTAAAGGCTGAGGCAAGAGTGTTAGCGCATTCAGGCATCTGTGCTGGCTTGCCCTTGGAGTGCTGACAGAAAACCTCCTCAGCTGCAGCCACTGAGATGCCTCCTGTGCACTTTTGCTGTGTTCCTTTTAAAAGGTTCCATGTCTGCCTGTCTTCCTCCTTCCCTCCCTCCCTCCCCTTCCAATAACCCGCCCTTATGGCATGACTCCCTCTCTGCCATTTTTTAAAATTATAACAAAGAGGATCACTTGGCCTCCTAAATTTAAGACTAATGTGGGCACTGTAGTTAGATCCTGTCTCCAACAAACCAAAACTTCAGTGGTACCAGTGTGGCATAGGTATCTGCTGAGTTTTCCTCAGTTACCAGCTCCTGTATAGACAGAAAACTGTTTCAGAGAGTTTTCCTTATTTAATTTGTGAGATTTTTCAAAGTGGGGAAGTTAGGACTTGAGCCTAGTCCCAATGACTCTTGGTAGTAGGGCGTTAGCCCAGGACTTCACAGGTGGCAGGCAAGCAGGCATTTCACCCCCGAGCCACACCCAGCCCAGCTGTGCCTGCTCATTGCTTCCCAAGGCTCTCTCGCCTCCTGCTGTGCTGGGGCTGTGTTCGAAGTCCCATATCTGTGCATTTCGATGCCAAGATGCCCGAGATGGACAGCTTAAAGGGTGACTGTTTCTCTTAGCTCATGGACTCTGGCTGCCTTATGTTGAGGCAGAGCATTATGGGAATGTAGGCAGAATCAAAGCCTAGCAGCCAGGAAGGAGAGGAAGGTGAGACCCACTTCCTCCAGCCCTAGCACAGCCCACTCATCTGTGAACTCATGAATGGATTAATCCTTGCGGAAGTTAGCGCCTCAGTCACCTCTCAGCAGTGCACACACTTAGCACCGGGGCCTCTGTGAAGGACACCTCATTTCCAAACCTTAGCAGGCAGGGGGCTGTAAAGAGCTGCAAGCTGTAACTTATTCCAGGGGTCGTTGTCCAGTGTCTTTTGAATAACTGCGCCATTAAAATAGTGTCATTTGCTGCTGATGCTGCAGTGTGGTCACGGACTGTGGGCTTTCAAGATTTGATAAAGATGGAAGTTGAAATTTTGACCATATGCAATAATTGATCAAAATTCTGCTGTGTACAATACTGTTGATTTCTTGTATGAAAAAGCAGATAGAGACTGTTAACCGAATCTCCTGTTTGCTAGGGTCAGTTTACATTTGAGTTTTTGAATTGCTTTAATTTATTTTAAAAGCCACATGGAATTAATTTTAGCTAATGTTGTGCTGGGCACCTTCTAGGACAGGGACATCATGTTACATTTTGGTTCATCTGGTGATACAGCATTTCCCAAATGCTGTCTGGTAATTCCGATACAACTTTAAAAGTTAATTCTCACCTTTCCCCTGTCTCATGTGACATTTTAAAGTATTGAATTTGTTTCTGTATTATCTGTGTTGTTTTCTCAATGACTTCTACAGTAGTTCCATACCATGTAAGCTCCAGATGCTTTCGCATAGCACGCCACAGCCTAGGTCCCTTTCATGTCTGTGCTTTTTCAGATTAGAGTTTTAGGATGAGTGGTCTATACATCCAGCTCTCCCTAAATCATTGAGTTTTTTTTAATCAAAGTAAGTTTAGCACTAATCAGATGGTTTCTACCTCTTCCCACCCCCCCCCCCCCCCCGTCTCTCTTATGTGTGTGTGTGTTTGTGTGTGTTTTCCCAGAGAAATATTATTAGCATCCAGTATTATCTGTAAAGTCGCATATTAACTCCAGTTTTTATTTTCTAGGTAGTAAAAACACAAGTATATTAAATTCTTATAGAGTACTTTTAATATCAAAACTATGGGAAAAATGAACATTAACAGAAAATATGGGGTTTTTATTTTCTTCTCCAATTCAGCATATCTTCATTGATTTCTCCGAAGTAAAATGGCCCGGTCTTGCTGGAGACAACAGCGTCACATATTCGGAGAGCGGCGCCGTGAAGATAACGTCACTGGATGGGCACGCGTACCTTTGCCTGCCCAGATCTCAGCATGAATTTACAGTCCATTTTCTGTGTAAAGTGAGCCAGAAGCCAGACTCCTCCGTGGTACTCCCTGAAACAAATGATCGTGTCCCAAAAGATAAACTAGTTGGAAAGACCACAAAATTCTGCACGTGTGGAAGTTCATCAGGACAAAGATTAAAGACTAAAGAAAATGAACTTCATCGCCAAGTCTTGAAATCTAAAGAAGCTTCAGCGAGCATGTATTGTGTGAATGGAACTGAGGGGAAGGAGGGGCTGCCGTCCCCAAGCACAAGGCACAGATGTGTGTACGCGTGGATGAAGCAGCGTTGGTCTGTCGCCTCCTGTCCAGAGCAGTGGAAATATCCTCTGTCTCTAGCGCTTCGTTTTCATAACAAAGTTAGTGTTGCGTCTAAAACTGATGCAGATTTCCCTGCAAGTGGAAGCATAACTTCTGACACTGTAGAAGAAAGTGGAAAAGAGGTTTCTGTTCTTCCCAGAGCCCTGTTACTCAGCTGCCCTGCCCCACACATGCACAGGTACCGCAAGGATGGCTTGTTGCTCAGAAAGGTTGCGGAGAGGCCTTCTTTACCTGATCTTACCTTTTAGATCAGCTGATACTGCTCTGGTTGGTTGGGTTGGGTTTGGGTTTTTTTTGAGATGAGGTCTCACTATGTAACCTGGGCTGGCCTTAGAACTCTATGTATACCAGAACTCTAACTCATAGAGACCCCCCCTCTCTCTGCCTCCCAAAAGTGCTGGGATTAAAGGTATGAGCCACCACACCCAGCCACATCTGTTACTATCCTTACTCTCATTTGATTGGCTAAAATCTTTCATTTTAAAGGATAGTATTCATAGCAATGTAGGGTATTTAATGAAGGTCACTGTCCATAGAAGGATTATTAAAGTACAGAAGAACAGGGCTCTTTGGGAGAAAGCCTAGAAGCGAGTCTATGGTTGGTCACTGGAGCCCATGAACCCATGACCCCATAGGCAAGACCATAGACCTTGGACTTGCCCATGGCCCCACAGGATGTATTCACTCATAATTGGTTTCTAGCCATAAATAAAGGTCACGGAGTGTATACCTGGTGAACCTAACGAAGCTAAAGAAGAAGGTGAACCCAAGAAAAAACATATAGTTATCCTCTTGGCTAAGGGAAGTAGATAAAATTGCCGGGGACAAAATTGGGATCTTGGGGGTGGGGTGGGTTGGGGATAAGGGGGGACAGGGAGAGAAAAGTAAGAAGGGGAGGATTGGGGGAACTTGGGGAAACAGGAAGATTGGGATAAAGGAAGGTCGGATAGGGGAGCAGGGAAGCACATATCTTAGTTAAAAGAGCCACCTTAGTGTTGGCAAGAGACTTGAACCTAGAGTGGCTCCCAGGAGCCCAAGGCGATGTCCCCAGTTAGTCCCTTGGGAAACTGAGGATAGGGAACCTGAACTGACCCTATCCTATAGCATTACTGACGAATATCTTTCATATCACCATAGAACCTTCATCTGGTGATGGATGGAGATAGAGACAGAGAGACTGTTCTATTTTATGTATCTGGTATAGGAACCCTATTACAAGAATCACTGTAATCCTCTCATAAAGGAACCTAAGATCCAGAAATGGTAAAGAACTCAAGCAAGTTACATCACTAGCACCTGTAGAATTGAAATTTGCTCCTAGGTCTTCTCTGAGTACACATTTTTACCTAAAACATAGGAATAGCTTTTGGACTTGCCATAATTATCTAGTTAAACTGGAAATTCCCTGATTCTAAATATGTGACAGAAGAGGTTTTATATTTCTAAATTAAGTGTGCCTTTGACTGGGTTTAGGTTGAAATCCATTTCCTTATCCTGGCATAGCAGGCTTTCATGGTCTGGTGGCTTCCTTGGCTGTAGTCCTCACGCCTGCCATTGCTGTGTCCTTGCTGTCCCTGTGCCTGCTGAAGTGTCCTCACCATTGCTTGAGTGCTCACGGACTCCCTTTCGCTCCTGCCCCAGCTCCTGCTCTTTGCTCCAGCATTGCCCTCTCCCCACCATCTCTTTCCCTTACTTAAGCCCAAGCCTTGCTTCCTTGGAGCAGTTTCTCAAAGTCTGTTGATGAGCTAGGTCCTTATTCGTGTCCATAGCACTCATTGCCCCTCTCCCCTCAGACTTCTGTTTGACTACACTGCCGGATGGAACATCTCCACTGGGGACAGGAAACGTGTCTCCTTTGGTGGACTTTAAGTTCTCAGTGTGTACAGCATTACGCCTGGCCTACCATAAATATTTCAATAAAGATCCGTTTTTTGAATTCAGGTTAATTTTATTTTTATTTATTTATTTATTTTGGTTTTTCAAGACAGGGTTTCTCTGTGGTTTTGGGGCCTGTCCTGGAACTAGCTCTGTAGACCAGGCTGGCCTCGAACTCACAGAGATCCGCCTGCCTCTGCCTCCCAAGTGCTGGGATTAAAGGCATGCGCCACCACCGCCTGGCCAGGTTAATTTTAAAGATTAGTAAAATTTTAATTTACATCATACTGAGATCCATTAATGAGGTTACTGAGAATTAATGAAAAGATACATGACAAAATAAGACTTGTTTTAAAATTTCTCTAATGTACGCGTGTGTGTGTGTGTATGTGTGTGTATAAGCATATACATTATATAGTCAGGCAAGGAATAAGCATTATGGTGGCACTGTTTGTTGACTTTCAATGGCAATTATTTTGAGCAACCGGAATTAATGCTCCGGTTTTCTCTTCCACAGGTGGAACTTCTGTGACTCACTTTTGCAGAGACAGTCTGATGGAGAAGACTATTCCTATCCTGAGCTCGTGAAGGTGGTGTGGTGCCAGGGTGTGACGTACAGGTGAGGCTCTGCGGTGTGGAGTAGGGTGTGACGTACAGGTGAGGCTCTGCGGTGTGGAGTAGGGTGTGATGTACAGGTGAGGCTTACATCCAAAGCCATTGAAAGTCAGTCTTGCTGGTGAATATATGTTTGTAACAGGGACTTAGGGTATCCTTCTGAACATTAGAAGGTCTGGTTGTATTACCTGCTGAGCATGGAATCAGCCTAAGGGTGATTCCATCAAAGGAAATCATTCCTTTTGTTACTGTCCTGCACCTACACTTCTCCACTGAATTTTCCCTCCCCTACCATAGAGTTACTATCTAATGACTGAAATATGGTGTTGGCCAGATCCATCTTTACATCATGAATAATAGTAGAAAATGATACCTGATGTTTTTTGATTACCAAAAAGCTTTCCCTTTTCTATATGAAGATCCACCCACTTCTGACAGCAAAAGTTTTAAATTGCATTTCTTTTTTCCTGGGGGTGGCAACACGTGTGTGTGCTTTAGCAGGCATGTAGAGGTCAGAGGACAACCTTCCCGTGTCAGTTGTCCTCCTCCATCATGTGTCCCAGGGATTGAACTCAGGGCATCAGGCTTGGCAGAAAATGCCAACACCATATAAAAGATCTGTTCCGATAGAAGTAGTTTCCGTGAAATATATACCGGATGCTTTGGTCATACCTGACAACTACATGTGTAATGTGCCTTCCATGGATAGTTAATCTTATCCATCAGGTACTGATTACACCAGTTATTTTTGTTGAAGAGTGATCTTATTTTCAGGACCTAGAAGTGTGGTATTCAGCTTCTATGCGCTGACATTGTTTGGTGACTCATTATGTGTCAGTCCCTAAGTTGGCACTGGGTGTGTAAAGACAAGATTCTCTGAGTTCTAGAAGCTCTGAGCTTGGTTGTTGCAATAAGCACATAAGGCACTTGTGTGTCCTATTTCTCTTTGGTGCAGCATTGCCATGTCTCTGTTTTTGTTGTTGTCTTAATGATTGCTTTCCTGGATGCATTAGTCTTCATTTAAAAACATATGATTATTTCTCTATTTTAGGCTTACCCATAAAAATGTAAACTCGATAGAGATTTATCCTGGAGATGGATCAGTTTTCAAATCAGAAGGGCCTTATATTGGTAACTATTTTACATATTATTCGAGTCAAAAAGAATCAGAAAAGGTAAGCTAACAATGAAGTTCAAGTTTTGATAGAAAGTTCCTTCCTAAGTCACTATAAATTTGATGTTTTATGTAATATCTCACTCCTCGCCATAGAAAATTAATATTATCTTACTGTCAGCATTGACACCTGGTGAATTATTAATCACTTTGTTTTTACTATAGTTACGCCCACTATTATCCACTAATACCCTAAACAGTTTGTTTAAATCAGAAGCTAAACTTGTGTCGTAGAATTTGTGCATAAAGAACACTAAAGCCCGGAGCATTACCTTTGAGTCACTATACTACTTTGAATTAATATTTACAAAGTACAAAGCATGTATTGGGGACTAGGTAGATGGTTCTGTGGGTAAAATGTTGGCCATACGAGCATGAATGAGAACCTGAGTTGAGATCCCCAAGGCACACATAAAAGGTGGACAGTAATATGTTCTACCCTCCACCAGAAAGGCACACTAAGAATACCATTAAAATATGTACGTTTTATGGGCTTTAGAGTACTAAAATAATTGCTTGCTTTGTTGGTATATATATGTGTGTATGTATATATATGTGTGTATATATGTATATCTGTATATACTTCAAGAAAAAAGTAGTTAAGTACTAAGGGCCAGATTTTTGTTTGTTTGTTTTACACTTTCAGAGAGAAGAAAAAACTTACTCCATAAATAACCTTCCTCCAGACAGACCAGGAAGTCTCTTCTCTGTACGTTCTCTGATTAAACAGGCAACCAGGTGAGTTAGTGATGTTCAGCTGAGAGAAAAGCATGCACCTGAGTACCTCGTTGTTTCCTCTGTTAAGGTTAGGACGTAGTGGGTACGATTTGTCTTAGCCACAAATCTGTCAGGTTTTCTGGTCTCATAATTTAGAAAGTAATCACAAGAGCATTAGTCTGGATAGGCTTCCACACAGGAAGGGGGCGAGTCCAGAGAAGGACTCAAGTGCTGTTTCTCTGGACAAGTGTGGCAGCCCTATGGCTGCTTTAATCAAGTTGGGGATTTCAGGAAACATTTGAAATTTTCCCAGTTTCTTATTTTTACAGCAATAGAGTTTTATGAGAGTGTACTAAAGATAAAGTGTGGATTGGTTCATTATTTAACCTTCTTTTTTTTTTTTTTTTTTTTTTGGTTTTTTGAACAGGGTTTCTCTGTGGTTTTGGATCCTGTCCTGGAACTAGCTCTTGTAGACCAGGCTGGTCTCGAACTCACAGAGATCTGCCTGCCTCTGCCTCCCGAGTGCTGGGATTAAAGGCATGCGCCACCACCGCCCGGCATTATTTAACCTTCTTAGAAATTGTTTTGATTGCTGGGCAGTGGTGGCACGTGCCTTTAATCCCAGCACTCAGGGAGGCAGAGGCAGGCAGATCTCTGTAGGTTTGAGGCCAACCTGGTCTACAGAGTGAGTTCCAGGACAGCCAAAGATACGCAGAGAAGCCCTGTCTTAAAAAAAAAAAAAAAAAAAAAAAAAAAANTAACAAAAGAAAACCAAACAAAAAAAAAAAAAAAAAAAAAAAAAAAAAAGAATTAAAAATTGTTTTAATTAATCTAGAGCACCCAGAAAAAAATGAAAACGCAATGTTGAATTAAATAATTGTTTTTATGAAAGTATCTAAAAAATTTCCAGGCTAGATTAGCAGGCTCAGAAATTATTTGATTTTCTATACACCTGCTTTCTATAATACCTGCTTTCCTTGCCATCTTTAGACCTCTTAGATATGTGACTGTCACGTCTTTAGAACATCTAAGCAGCAAGAAGGCTCAACTGAGGAAGGCGCTTGCTATGCAGGCCAGGTAGCCTGAGCTTGACCTGTTAAGCCACGTAAAGGTGGAAAGAGAGCCAAAGCTGCAAAGATGTCCTCTGACTTTTCCACACATGCCATGGCACACATGAGTACACAGACACCACAAATCACTAATTAATTTAAACGGTTGTAAAGGAGCCCCTAAAATTATCCACGGAGTTCCTTTGTTGCTAGAAGGTCAAGGAGTAGCTTTAGCTAGCCAAGAGAGGGCAGAGGGAAAAGATGGTGGCCCCCATCTTCTGGGAAGGTGAGTTGCCACAGTCATCTGAACTGTTACATGGCATTCAGGATGTTGCTGAGACATTGCTCCACTGTTCCAGGTGTTTGAAAACATAGAAAATGTCATCATTTACAAACACTTAGGGGCTGTTTTTCATGTTCACAGAATTCTTCAACACTGTGCCAAGACGAGGCTTTCACTAAGCCACAACTATCATGTCTGCTGCTGGAAAATGGTATGGGAAAGCAAGACTGTTAGCTGTGTGGGTGCGTGCTTGCACATTCAAACTGCTTTCAGCTAAGTCATGTGAGAAAATGTTTCTGACATTCAAATTGGTTTATTCAAGAGAGTACCTATCTGAGCTGGCTGTGATGGCACACACCTTCAATCCTACCACTTGGGAGTCAGAGGCAAGCAGATCTCTGAGTTCAAGGCCAGCCTGGTTTACAGAGTGAGTTCTGGAACAGCCAGGGCTACACAGAGAAACCCTGTCTTAGTTAGGGTTTCTATGCTGTGATGAAACATCAAAAGCAACTTGAGGGGGAAAGGGTTTATTTCACCCACAGTTCCCTATAACAGTTCATTATCAAAAGCTGTGAGGGCAGGAACTGATGCAGAGGCCATGGAGAGTGCTGCCTACTGACTTGTTCATCGTGGATTGCTCAGCCTGCTTTCTTAGACAGTGCAGGACCACCTGCCCACAGTGGGTTGGGCCCATCAGTCGTTAATTAAGAGAATGCAGATCTCATGAAGGCGTTTTCTCAACGGAGGCTCCTCCTCTCTGACATAAAACCAGTCAGCACAAGCCCTGTCTCAGAAAACTTAGAAATATCTGCCTCATAGACAGACTGGAAAATCAGTCCGTTTTTTTTGTTTGTTTGTTTTTTGGGTTTTTTTTTGTTGTTGTTGTTGTTGTTTTTTAAAGCTGAAGACATTGCACATACTGGGCGGATACTTCCTGTCACTTAGGGATGCCCCTCACCCCTATGTTTTAGTGTATGTAGTCCCTCACCCCTACCCCTCACCCTACCATGTTGGGACTCAAACCGGGGCTTAGAGCACGCCAAGCACACACTCTTGTCACAAAGCTCTACTAGCCCGATTTTATTTTTCTTCAACATTTTGGTGCAGAATGTAGTCCTGGCTGGCCAGGCTAGCTTCAAGCTTGACATCCTCCTGCCTCAGCCTGCCAGGTGCTGAGATTACAGATGTGTGTAAACCACCATGTCCAGCCGATTGATTGTTTGCTTCTTTGTTGTAGTAGAGGAGAGAGGGGAATTGATTGCATCTGAGTCACGTCACGGCATTGTCGCTACAAACCCTGAGAGTATCGTATTTTAGTTTTATGAATGTAAAAGTCAGTTCATTAATCCTCGCTTAGAGAAAATGATTCTCAGACACCGATTTTTGGGATCCAGACTCATTTGATTATAAACTTATATGTTGTTATAATTCACAGTTTTTGCCTAAATTAAGTTCAAAGCAGGATGGTAGCTTCCAGAGATACTAGAACTTAATCATGCTAGGCAAACAATTTTGCATGTGTAACTCTTGAAAAGTTAAAGTATAGATAATTCTGTAGCACTCAACTTCTGAATACGAATCTTGAGTTGCTTCAGGGTTCATTAATAATTACTTGTCTTTTTCAAAGAAAACTCCTGCCTTGTGATGTTCTTTACTTGGTTTTAGGTACCTGAAGTAAATGCTAACAATCCCCTGCCCGTGCTTCTGAAGGAGTCTCTCATACCCAGTGTGGGGAGATTTCTTGCCTACTCTGATGACAAAGTTCACGCTGTCTTTTTAGATGGCGTCACTCTAACACTGAATTGGAATTTCAGCTCCTCTGCTGAAAACAGAGAAGTGAGTATACCTAGGACTAGCGGTTCTCAACCTTCCTAATGCTGCGACAGTTCCTCATGTTGTGGTGACCCCAGTCATAAAATACTGCTGTTGTACTGTTAGGAATTGTAATGTAAATATTTGATATGAGGGATATCTGATATGTGAGCCCTGAGAACTGCTGTCTTTTGTTATGCTCAGTAAAATTTGCTGTAGGCTGGAGAGATGGCTCAGCGGTTAAGAGCACTGACAGCTCTTCCAGAGGTCCCTGAGTTCAATTCCCAGCAACCATATAGTGGCTTTGCAATAATGAGATCTGGTGCCCTCTTCTGGCCTGTAGGGATACATGTAGGCAAAACACTGTATACATAATAAATAAATAAATCTTAAAAGTAAAATTTGCTGTAGCATTTGTAATTGTCACGCATGAGATGCCATTCTGATCTTAGATACTTGTATATATTATATTACTATTAGGATAAACATTATCTCCTTAAATAGTTATCATTTCTTTGTGATTCAAGATTCTATCTTCTAGGTTTTTTCAAATACATAATAAATTATCCTTAATAGTGTGATATCTACAGTGTGAAATATATCCTGATTAGTTACTTATCTACAGAAAACAGTATTACTTTATCTCAAATTATGTTATTGGGTTTTTTATGTGTATATATTTGTGCCTTTGTAAGTTTATGTACCCCATGTATATGCAAGAGCTCTTGGGATCAAAAGATAGCATCTGAGTTGCTAAAATTGAAGTTAAGTGATATGGAGTGCCCTTCTGTATTCTGTGAATATGTCTTACTACCATTGGTTAATAAAGAAACTAACTTGGCCAATAGCTAGTCAAAATATAGCTAGGTGGGAAATCCAAACAGAGAAACAGAGAAAAAGAAGGTGGGGACAGGGAGATGCCAGCAGCTACTGGAGAAGCAAGATGTGAAGTAACAAGCCATGAGCCTCGTGGTAAAATAGATATTAATAGAAATGGGTTAATTTAAGTTATAAAAGGCTAGTTTATAATAAGCCTGAGCTATTAGGTCAAACAGTTTGTAACTAATATTAAGCCTCAGAGTGGGTTATTCAGGAACTGGTGGGGGTGGGGGGGGAAGCCTTCAGTTACAGTCATGGGTGTTTGTAAGCCACCATTTGGGTGCTAGAGACTTGTCAAGAGACTTTATTGATCTCAATGAATTTCCTAGCAAAAAAATCAGAAAAGTATAACAAAGAGTCACTTTATGTATATAAAATAACACATTGCAACAAGGATTGGCATTTATAATAACTGTGTGGATAATGACTTATACCAACAACCCATTCAAATCTAGTCTTTCAATTCTCAAAATAAATCTGTAATGATTTCATTCCTTTATTTAAAAAAAAAAAAAAGGATGCTCAATCGTTCCACAAAGACATGTGCTCAACTATGTTCATAGCAGCTTTGTTTGTCATAGCCAGAACCTGGAAACAAACTAAATGCCCCTTGATCAAAGAATGGGTAAGAAAAATGTGGTACATTTACACAATGGAGTGCTACACAGCAGAAAAAATGACAGCTTGAATTCTGTCTGCAGGAATTCAATGGATGGAACTAGCAAACATTATTTTGAGTGAGGTAACCCAGACACAGAAAGACAATTATCACATGTACTCACTCACTGGTAGTTTTTAAACATAAAGCAAAGAAAACCAGCCTACAAACCACAATCCCAGAGAACTTAGACAACAGTGAGGACACTAAGAGAGACTTACATAGATCTAATCTACATGGGAAGTAGAAAGTAGAAAAAGACAAGATCTCCTGAGTAAATTGGGAGCATGGGAACCTTGGGGGAGGGTTGAAAGAGGGAGGGGAGAGGCAGGGAGGGAAGCAGAGAAAAATGTAGAGCTCAATAAAAATCAATTTTTAAAAAAAGGAGGTTGCTAACATTTTAGTTTTAGAATGATAAAACTTGCCTCTTCCTTTTGCTTCTTAAGGTAAATCAAGGTCTGACCTTGGGTTGGTGCAGATTAACTTTTCCTGATGGGGAGGATCAGCTAATTCAAGCTGAGCATCCTGGAGCATATGAAAGGTATGGAAGGGCAATTTTATTTTCGTGTCTCAACCAAGGGAGCGTATGTGTAACTTAAATATTACGTGTCATCTTAGTTTTTCCAGATTGCAGAGTTTTCAGTTACACTGAAATTTAACTCAATGAAATATATCAAGTCAGCTTTAAACGTGTGTTTGCCTCCAAGAGATTTTTTTAAATAATTATTTTCAGCATGTCTGATTTCCTGTTGCAAGTATGGTCAGCTGTGTTAGCCAACTTTCTAGTTCCTTAACGAGACTAGAAGAAAGGTAGTTTACAAATGACTGTAAATGGCTAAGATTGTATGCATTTCTGGGAAGTGTAAAACATTGAAACTAGTTGGTGGATATTCCTAAATGGGAGGATGCTTGAACTTAGTTTATAGCAATACAACTTTGCTGCTAATGTAGTTCACCGTTAGTTGTCGTGACTCCACAGGTAGTAGTCTTGACTTTAGAGCAGCTTTAACTGGCGGGGCCCACAGAACTGCTTACTTAGCATCTTGAATCTATCTTTCTGTTGCGTGGTCTTGTTTTGGTCTAAATATTCCAATATTCAATTGCTATTTTAAACAGTTTCTCTCAAAAAGATAGTCCCTTTGGCAAATGTTTTCATGATTTGTTCTATCCTATCACTTAAGATCATTCAATTTATTAAACTTGTTTTTGATACTCATTAAGTTACATTTTATTATTTGCATGTATATATATGTTTATACATGCGTGTGCTCCAATGGGCATTTCCAGGTTTAAATTTTAGAAGGCAAATGTATATATAGACTATGTAAAGACATATGCCGAGCTTAAGGAATTTCACCTTACTTTGAAAAACTAAAAAGAGTTAGATATTTTGAGCTTTAAGTGAAGTGCAAGTATTCCTTTCTTGTTTTGATTTGGATGTTTTCTTTATAATATGAATACAAATAAAATTATTTTATTCTTTATGAATATGTGAAAAGGTTACCTCATGTGTTAGGATTTAGAAAATCTTATTGCCTCACTTAAAATTTTTCTGTATCTTTTTTTTCCTCCAAACTGTCTTATTGATTTTTTTCTTATGTATTTATAGAAAGTATACAAATTCAGATTGGGAGTGTAGCAAGGTAGTAGAGCATTTCCTCAGCATAGACAAGGACCTGAGTTCCATTCGCAGCATACAAGGGGGGGGGAATCAATTAAAAAAAAAACTTAAAACAAGGTGGCACACCCTACAATTTCAACACTTATCATAAGGATCAGAGGTTCAAGGTCATCCTTTGATGTAGGATTCCCCTCTGTATGCTGTGAATACCATTGGTTAATAAAGAAGTTGTTTTGGGTCTGTGAATGCTGGGATAAAGAAGGCAGAGTCAGGGAGAAGTCATGTAGTCCTGCCAGAGACAGACACAGGATGGAACTTTACCCAGTAAGCCACAGCCAAATGGCGATATACAGATTAACGGAGATGGGTTAGTTTAGGATATAAGAGCAAGCTAGAAATATGCTTAAGCTATTGGCCAAACAGTATTGCAAATAATATAGTTTCTGTGTAATTATTTCGGGGCCAAGCAGCCGGGAACAAACAAGTGACCTCCTACAACAATCCTTAGCTACATAGTAAGTTAGAATCAAAGTTTTGTTTTTTTAACTTCAATTCATTTTTGTTATTGTACAAATTAATTATACAAATTAATGAGTTTCCCTATCAAATATTTTTAATGTGTTTTTTCCAGATATGTGACATCAGTAACATCATGGTGCAGAAGACTAACCCAGACTAGTGTAAGACAGGCGCCCAAACAGCTGTCACCTGTTCTCAAAGAAAACTGGTATTTAGATTTCTTGTAAACGTAATCTCTGAATAAGAGCCAATTAGTACCAAGATGTGATGGTTTGAATAAAAATAGCCCCCATAAGCTCATTTATGTGAATGCTTAGTCACTAGGGAATGGCACTATTTGAAAGGATTATAAGGATTAGGAGGTGTGGCCTTGTTGGAGGAAGTGTGTCACTAGGGGATGGACTTTGAAGTTTCAAAAGCCCATAGTTGGCCACGCCTTTCTCTCTGGCATAGGATATAGCTCTCGGCTACTACTGTTCAGTGTAGTGCCTGTGGCCATGCTCCCTCCATGATGACAGTGGACTGAGCCTCTGAAGCTGTAAGTAAGCCCAGATTAAATGCTTTCTTTCACAAGAGTTGCCTTGTCTCTTCACAGCAATAGGGCAGTGACTAACACAGGGCTGGCAAGATGGCTCAGTAAGTTCATGTTTACTGCTTAGGCTAATGACCTAAATTCAGTCCTCAGACCGCATGTAAAGCCAGAATTGTCCTCTGACTGTGCACACACACACATACACACATACAGAGTGAATAAATAAATGTTAAAAGCAATATTTTTTTAAGTAGCAAATGGAAAACCTTGAAGCTTTTTTGCTCAAGAAAACCTTTTGTTTTAAACATATTTAACAAAATCTTTTTCATACTATCTATAAGTTTGAAAAAAAAACCTTTTCTAAAAAAAATTACTTTTTCAAATCTGTTGTACAGAAAACTCTGCATTGAAAAATTTATATCAAAATGAGTGGCTCTTTATATATGATAAATTAAATTTTTGTGGAGAATTCAGTATTATTAAAGGAAATATAATACTGAGTAGCATAAGCTTCTTTTAAAAATTGACTTTTAAATAATTTCTGTTGCAGTTAATTCTTGTCCCAAATTAATAAGCGCGTTATAAAGTAAAGCAAGTAGTATTTTTAGATCCTCAGGAGACTGGGCTAGGGCTCCACAGGAGTGTCTCAGGACATCAGACTTTGGGAGTCATCAGGAGCAGAGACAGAAAGGAGCATTCAGGAGAAAATTCAGCAGCTGAGAGCAGCAACTGGCTGCTCTTTCAAAGGACGCGGGTTCCATTTCCATCACACTCGTGGCAGCTCCCAGCCCTCTTTAGCTCCAGTTCCACGGGATCTGACATCCTCTTCTGGCCTCCACGGCACCAGGCATGCCTGTGGTGCACAGACTGACATACAAGAAAACAGTGTAGAAGACACAGTGAGGAGACAGTGTGTCAGCAGCAGGTAGTACTTGCTAGGATATACTATGTTTTGATGAATTGAGATGGATCCTATAATAGATAAAGAAGTTCACATGGGACGAAAACACAAGTTCATAAATCTAAAACTAGTTGGAAGGTCATTGATGCTCTTAATGTCACTGAGTAAAAAAAATCTCAGTGTACTGGAAGAGGATACCAAGGATGCAATTTAGGAAAGGATTTTTTTCAGATTTATTTTCGTGTGTGTGTGTGTGTGTGTGTGTGTGTGTGTGTGTGTGCAGCTCAGCCTGAGGAAGCCAGAGGCCTGGAATCTCCCAGAGCGCTAACAGCAGCTCTCAGAACCAAACTCAGGTCTTCTGCAAGAGCTGTCTGTGTTCTTAACCACTGATCCATCTCTGCGGCCCCAGGAACCTTCTCTGATAACCCTGTTCTGGGACCAGATCCAGGGCATCCTGTGCATTAGGGAAGGACTCTACAGCTGAGCCTAATGTATGACCTTTCTATAAAAGGAAGTTTAAGGCGACTTAGCAGAATGTAGCAGGATAATGTGCGTGCACACAGCCTGATTTAAAGTCTGTGCCTGAGTGAATACTTGTTAGAATAAATCAAATGAAAACAGTAGGTGTGATTTTAGTATGCTGACCTTCTCAGGATCCAGCTTTGCAGAGGCCTCATCCTTCAACTCCAGCCTGTTTCAGAGCAGGAAAGTGGCTCAAAGCAGCTGGGAAGGAGGGAAGTTGCATATGATTATAAAACTGATCACTAACCACTGATTAAGTTATAACTGTTTTTGTTTTTTATTAAATGCTTTGTTTACATCAAAACTGAATGAGGGTTACATTGGCATTCTAAGAAATGAAGTCTGAAACCAGGCAGTAGTGGTTCATGCCTTTAATCCCAGCAGAGCCCAGCAAATCTTGATGAGTTTGAGGCCAAAAGGTCTACATAATGAGTTCCAGGCCAGCCGAGGACAACATAGTGAGACCTTGTCTCAAAAAATCAAAAGTGAAAGTGCAGTTGGTGATAGCAGCTGTGGGTGAAAGCAGTGAGGAACAGCTGTGACCCCCAAGACACCCCTCACCCCCATCCTCTGCCTTGTCAACAAAAGGGTATGGTTGAAGGAAGAAAAGATCGCACATTAAACAGCTTTCTAAAGTGTAGTTCAGTATTTTTTCTACCTTGCCATCATTAATTTATTGGTTCAGCCTTTTAACAACTTGAATAAAGCACCATTTCTAGATAAACATCTTTGTTAATTTTTCAGAGGTAGTCATAGTATCTGTACGGTGTTCTGACGCGGTGGGGACACAAGGTAGAACATTCCCATCAGGGGCTCTGCTAGAGTGTTAGAGTCAGCCCTCATACATGCTGCCCCTGGCTTTTCTGTCACGTGTGTAAGAGCTCATGTTCCAGTGTCATCCTTTATCTTTCATAGGTCTGTTGCTTCTGAGCTTGAGAAAATACAGAAATTTAACTGTATCCTTTAAGAGAATGCAATATCCTACAGAAGTGTTCCATTTCAGCCTGTTCTTGATGACTGCACTTTATGACGGTTACTTCATGCGTGCATGTGGCTGAGTTTTGCTGAGTCAGACAATATCTAAAATATTTTCTTGTCATGAAATGTTAACATTTATACTTTTATGTTTGAATTGTATAAGGAATGATGAACTAGGATTAAGATCTCTTTTGGAGACATGATAGCTGTTAAAATCTATCTGTAACTTCTGTTATGAACCCTGTCGTTATGAACCTTCATTTTTCTCTTCATTTTTCTGCACAACTTACAAGCAGTTCAGCTAGTCAGAGTCACCTCTCCCCAACAGCTGCTCCTGCAGAGACAGCCTTGGCAAGGGATTTGGGAAATTTTGTAACTTTGGGGAGCTTCCTGAACCTTGTGAGATTCATATACTTCCTGGGCAGTGTGTATTTTATCCTCTCGGTTCTGTGAGCTCCCTCCTCCAGAAGGAGAAAATAGTTATACAGTCTTACTCAAATAATAAACTAGTTCTGCAAGAGAAGGCAAATTTCCTTTTACTCTAGATTTTTGTTCATTAAAAGTGTGCAGCATTTATTGTTTCTAACCCTGTTGTCCTGTTCTTTTCCCCTTTTTATTTGCTTAGCAAATGTAGGTTAAGAAATGTTATTGGGATTTTCTTTTCTTTCTTACTAACCCTCCATCTAAACACACAATCCCCTACTATGGCTGAGTTCCTCATCTCTAAGGGATGGACTTCATAAACTCTGAAGTCCAGTGCAATCATGAATTCAGTAGATAGTCCTTAAACTGAGAAATATTCTCATACCGAAGTCAGGTTTTCTTAAAATCAGATTGTATAATGAAAAATGTGGGGTAAAGCTCCTTAACTAAGAAATTCAGTGCTCCTGGAAAGCAGTGGTATCCTCCACTTGACTTCTGGCAAGAAAAATGAACAGTGTTCTGATAACCGTACGTCAGAATCTTCAGAGACCCTGCTAGAAGCAACTAATAAAGAGAGTGTATCGGTAGCATTGAAAAGAACTTCTGAAATCCTTCAGGATATTGACTATCTCCTGTCAAACTCTAGAAAGTGAAAAATGGAATTATTGCAACAGCAAATCTTCAGGTTGTTTCATATTACTGGTATAAAATTGCTCGTAACCCAAGGAATTGCAAATGCTACTTCTGTAGAATGTGCAGAACTGATTTAACTTTGATTGTGTTTTACCTAACGTGTAAATTTTAGTGTGTATGTATTTATATATATATGCATTTTAAATAAAAAACTATTTTGAAATTTTGAACTCTTTCATTTTTCACATCAGCTATATAAGAAAAGTTACGTTTTGCCATTTTTAATATTGTAATGTTAATTTCCAATTTTCTTTTTGAATGTGCAGAACTGTCCATTCGGTCATTTGCTATGCAATCTCTCCTGGAGAGCTAATGTAGCACATCTTCTTTCTGGTCCTGGTTCTTGTCACCGCTCTAAAGAGTGCCGTGCACAGACAATGAAGTAAGTGGGAGGAAGATTTTCTTGCAAGGAGAGGACAGCTAAGATTTGAGAGAACTCTCCACAGCCACAAGCTGCCTGCCATCCAAGAGCAAGTGAGGGCTGAGGGCAAGCCTGCCGGGGAAGAGCAGGAGCAAGTCTGCAGGGTGGGCAATGGCTCAGTTTAGCCTCTGAACAGGCTCTGATTGGCTAGGTATATATCAAAATGGAGTGAAAAAGTAAGGCTCAATGAAGGGAGAGCCTGCTGAACCTGAAAGAGGAGTAGTTTGCAGTTTAGCTGGTGGTCCCATCCCCCTTACTGTCAGTTTAGCTGGTGGTCCCATCCCCTTTGCTGTCACAGCCATGGTAAGGAATCAGAGATTCAGCTGTCTGGAGGGCAGCAACCCATTAACTGTTGTTACATAAATGTGTATGCATATATATCCCTAAATAAACGCAGCCTAGGTAGTCTGTATAATGTTACTTATGTGTGTGTTTTCTGGGCTGACTGTGGTTTGAGGTAACCAATTGTTCTGCTCTTCCCCGGGGAAGACTTGTTTCTCTGACTCTCAGCACTCCTTAGTTGCCTGTGATTCTGTATGTAGTGTTGAGGCCTCCTAGCCTTCCCTTTTCTTACCCAGGCATGGCCCCTTTCCCTATCTGCCTGCCTCCCAGGGAGTCTACCTCCTTATCTCTCAGAACTCTTAACATAGAAGGCAGGAAAGAGGAGACAAGAACAAAAGGGAAGGAGACTAGTGGACAGGAGTGATAATGTCCATTAGCTGAGTGGAGAAATGCCCTCCCTTTATAGCCGCTCTCTGAGCTCCTTCCCTTTTCTGGTCTCGGCAAAAGTTTCTGTCTACAGTCCTCCCAACAACCCCACTAAAGTCAGCCCCTCCCAAATCAAATATATCATCCTGCTTATTTCCTTAACAGCATTTATCAGTATCTGTCCAGTGTGTTTCCTTGTGGTCAGTCCCCTCCAGTGAACAAGCTGCATAGTTAATCTGAAGCTATACTGTAACCTGGCGCAACAAAAGTATCCAGTGTGTGTTGTAGGAATGAATTGCTGCCTTCAGCAAGTAGGCTTCCAGGAAGCCTAGACTGTATGGCACACAGACCAACCATACTGCCGGAAGGGCCATGTCCCTAATTCTAAAGCAGTACAAATGAAAGTTCAGGTTGACGATTTTTCAGCGTGTGACCAGGAGTTGGCTTGGTAGTGAAGATCCCAACTGTCATGAATATTGCTAGTCTTGCTTTCCATCCTGATACTTGTTTTGAGGAAGTAAGAGGTAAAGGCTGTCTCTCCCGGCATCTTTGGGCTGGTTCACGCCAGATGTTTCCTTGTGCTAAGACAGCACCTGCCTCAGCAAGGCAGTCAGAGTATATATAGTCACCATTTCAGAAGGGCGATTTGAGTCCAGTCGGTATTGCTCTTTTGTTTCCAACAGGTTAGTCATGATTGTTCTTGCGCTGTCCTAGGACCAGCCTCAGCCGCCGCCCCCAGTGTCTAGCAAATCCCCAAGGGGGCGGTGGAGCACTGCGGTGAGTCAGGTCTGAGACCTTCCAGGCTTTGCTAGCCCTGCGGCATCCACTGAAGGAAGTTAGAAACTTCTGTGCCTTTGAGACCCAGACCCATTGTCCATTGAGCGTCCTGCACCAGGTGAGGTGACTTTTCCGTCCCGGCTGCACACTTCCACTTGGGTGCATCGAAGTGGGTGATTCGACGCCCGCTAAGCCAAGAAGCCGACGAGACGTTTTCCACATCTCTCCCGGGTTTTGGAGGCGTGTAGAACCCACGGCATCAACCCGATTAACCTGCGAGCGCCAGGAGCCGCTCCGAGAGGAGCCTGCATCCCGGCGTCCGCAGGGAGCCAGAGGACTCGGCCGCTCCGGCCGGCGCCTGCGTCTCTATGGTGCGGCCGAGGGGCGGAGCGCTGTTGGCTCGCCCGCCGACTGTGAAGTGAGCTGGGTATGGCTGAGCTGCACCAGGCCGGGCGGGGAGGGACGGGGAGAGGGCGCAGCTTTCAAAGGGAGGCCAGAGCGGGATGGAGCCGGAGCCGAGGCAGTGCGGGGTCGGGGCTGCGGGCTGGGAGGGCGGGCTCCCTGTCTCCGCGAGCCGCACACCTACCTCCTCCTCCCCCTCTCGCCCTCCGGATCGCGTGGATGTTGCTTTCCTGGGCTCCGCGCTTTTCCCAGTCCGAGCAGGGAGCCCGTGGGCGTCCGGGCAGAAGAGCCCACTGCCACCCTTACTTCTGTGGAAGAGTTCTGAGTTAGCTAAGCCTCCAAGTACTAAGACTTCCTGCCCCCGTTTGACATTCTAAAACTTACTAGATCACACGGACCCCGAAAAGGATGACTTCAGGAATTTGCTGAGATCAGAAACATGTTGGAACGCACACTTGTGTATTCTATTTGTAGTCGTTACAAGAGCTAAGTATTTTACGTGCAAAGAGAGATCAGAGGGCCTGAGATAGATAAGTCACGGTAAAGTAAACAAGATTTGTGTTCATTTCCTTTATTAATTACCAGCATTAGAGTTGTCATCTGCTTTTGGTATTTTAGCACTTAAGAGTTTAACTGTGTTAACTATTACAGCAACTATAGTTTAGTGACGAGAGCATTATTTGTAAAGCCTAATAAAGGCAGTTTGAGGCAGGGCATGTTTTTGTTTCTTTGTTTATTGTGATGACTTTGTTTGGTTGTTTGGTTTTTGAGACACGGTCTCACTATGTCCTCCGTGTTGGTCTTGGAATCCCTGAACTCAAGTGATCTTTCTGCTTCAGCCTCCTGAGTGCTGGGGCTACAGACCTAACAACCCCAGCTCTTGGTTTTGTACTTTTCCGCCAAGGTTAGGGAGAGGGAGGAAATGAAAAAGAAACTGACAGTTACGTTGGGAATGTCTTACTTATTTGTACAGAAATGTATGATTGGTAACAAAAAAAATCCTCACATTCTACTTTAAAAGACCAGCTAATATGTGGGAAACTAAGGGAAGGGAGATGACCATTTTGCTTGCTGGGAAGTCCCCACAGTTGGTGACATTTGCTATAATGAGGGTGAAATGAGACAAACTTAGGCCATTATAAAAATGGTTTCTAAAAGTCACAGAAAAATTAGATGGTTGGCTCTTATGGTAGAGAAGTCACCCCAAATACCACCTCTATGAATACTGAGTTTATCAGCTGAGAACCGGTGTGTACCTAGTGTTGCCGACCTTTCTGAGGTCCTGGGTCCAATCCTTTTTGATATACATACCAATTAACATTAATAAAACATTGTGTAATATCAGAAATATAATTTGTAGTATACCAAAAGCATTTTTCCACTTTTTACATGGATACTAATGCTGGGTCTCCAGGCTTGTGCAACAAATACATTTTCTCACTGAGCCATAAATCTGAAGTGTTCTCATATTAAGGATGACATAACAGATGTTTATTTTCTTCTTTTTTTCAAAGACAGAGTATCCCTGGCTAGCCTCAAACTATGTAGACCAGGCTGGCTTCAAACTCATAGAGGTTCACCTGCTTTGACCTCCCAAGTGCTGGGATTAAAGGCATGTGCCACCAACACACAGCTGAAATGTTTTTTCTTTTTAATCCCAGTATGTGTTTGTCTCTTTAAGACAGAGCTCTTAAAATTCAGGGTTGTTGCCAAGGTGCCATAACTTAGCTGTGTTTGGAATCTTATAGTTGTGATTGTTTCCTTAGAGCTCTGTGTTACTCCATAGTAACACTCTTAAAGTGAATGAGACCCATTTCTCGTTCTTTGGCAAATAACTTTATTATTGAGACAGGATCTCTCTCTGTAGCCATAGCTAGCCTAGACCTTTCTATGTAGATCAGGCTGGCCTTGAACTCACAAAGATCCACTTGCCTCTACCTCCCAAGCACTGAGATTACCGGCATGCACTAACACACTCATCACTGCAAATAAAGAGAGAGAGGGAGAGAGAGATTAAGAAAAGAAAAAAATGGAAGGATTTTCTCTTTGAGGGAATTATTTTATCTTTCAGTGCCCAATTTTTTTGTTCTTTTCTTTCTCCCAGGGCCTTGGGAAAACTTGAAGTGTTCCTGTTTTACTAGCCTTGTCTTTGGAAGCATCCATCTTCTATGCATTGCTTCTATTGATTTGAATTAGGTGATCTGTTTATTCTTCTCTATAATCTCGGGTTTTTTTTCCCACCAAAAAGCTGCTAATTTTAAAACCAATGTACTAACTTTATCTTACATCTTTGTTGCAATATAATTGATATGTAATTAAATCTAAATAGTTAAAGTACACAATCCAGCATATTTTGACACATGTATGAAACTATCACAAGAAGCTGACTGTAAGAATCATTCGAGAGCTTTTCCTTGCTTTTCAGCCCTTCCTGCAACCCCCCATCCAGTCAGCCACTGATCTGCTTTTTCTCAATATCAGTTAGTTTGCATTTTTCTGAAATTTTCCTAGATTCCCTTTAAAAATATGCCTAAGTGAAAATGTCAACCATACAGAAAAATAGAAGACAGTGTGAGGAGCTGTAGTCTCTTTGTCCATACAAGAGGTTGGTTAAGAGCCCTGGCTGCTGCTCTTGCAGGGAACCCAGGTTCAATTCCTGGCACCCATATAGCAGCTCACAGGTCTGTGAGGGATCCCATAACCCTCTTCTGAGCTCTGCAAGTACCACATGCAGATGGCGCACATTCACAACGCAGGCAAGTACCCACACAAGTAAAACAGGAAATGGAAAACCAGATGTGATGTGGCGTTGAAACATTTGACAGACGGATTATTTCAGTACCCTGTGCCAGGTTAGAATGCAGTGCAAATTTATGCTTGCCTTTTCACACAAGCTGAAATTCCAGGGTTTGTTGCTGTTATTCCAGGCCATAGATAAAGGGGGTGTTTGCTGGGGAGATGTCAGATGTTAGAAGTAAAGGGTGTGCTGTAGAAACTAGGGCACCTTTGAAAATCTTCCACGTGGAGCCAAGGACTTGATGTCTTCATTATCAGCTTTTTGTCTTTGTGTACTTTGAGATTTTTTTTTTTTTAAGACAAGGTCTCTTGGGCTGGAGAGATGACTCAGCGGTTAAGAGCACTGACTGCTCTTCCAGAAATCCGGGTTCAATTCCCAACACCCATATGGCAGCTCACAACTATCTGTAATTCCAGCTCCAGGGGACCCGACACCCACCCATGACAAAACGCATAAAGTAAAAATAAATAAATTTTAAAAAAGAGACAAGGGCTCTCCGTGTAGATCAGGCTGGTCCAGAACTCACAGGGACCCTTCTGTCCCTGCTTGCAGAATGCTGGGATGAAGGGCTTCTCTAGGACTTTCTTGTCCTCAGCTGTTTTGTGTCTTGGAGCCTGTAGCCTTCAAGAGTACCATTCCACATCAGTTTTGCATAGGAAAAGGAAGCTGGTGGGCTTCGCTTGGGCAACTGTTACCACACTACCTTAGAGGCAGAGAAGGGAACTCTAATTCTACAGCTCTGGAGTTTAGGTACCGTGGGGACAGGTAGTTTTTTGTTGTTGTTTTAAAAAAAGATGAGCCAGCTCTCCAGTCCTGAAAGCAGACCTTTTTTTTTTTTCTTCAAAAATATAGAAGCAGTTGGTGGGTTTACAGATACAATGAATGCCCGCTGCCATACCATACACATTCCGACAGAAGTATTTAAATGCCTAGCAGGAATCAGTAACATACAGTGGGCTTTCTGAAGTTCTCCTTGCTACCACATAAACTGTTTTTTTTTCCTTCAAAACAGACTTACAGTGTTTGACCATACAGCCCATCGTATACCACGTAAGGGATGCTAATTTTTCCAATTTGGTTTTATAATTACGACTGATGTTGCTTGCTTGGATATTGTGTGGCAGATTATAATCTTTTTAATGTTTGTCTTTGGTTTCTGCTTCAGGATGCCAGGGATGACGACAAGCGTAGACTGTTGGTCCCTGATGGCTGTTGCTGTATACTGACACAGTTTATGATGGCGTCTAAAGTTGAAAAGACTCAGGCTTTACAGCAGTGTTTCAGCACCGAGTCTCTCATCTCCAGCCTCGGTCTGGGCATCTTTTGCCTAGTAGCTGATAGACTTCTCCGGTTTTCCGTAATTCACCAAAACGATTGGCTTCGCGCCCTCTCAGATAACATAGTACACGGCGTGATTGGCATGTGGTCATGGGCAGTCGTCATTGGAATCAAGAAGAAGGCTGACTTTGGAGAGGTTCTTTTAGCTGGGTTTTTAGCCTCTGTTATTGATATCGACCATTTTCTTCTCGCTAGATCCCTGTCTTTAAAGGTAAGACATCGACGTAGTTTTCTTTAATGTCTTTAGTACGGCCACGCTGTCTTCCTGACCATCATAGGCTAGAGAAAATGTCTGTCTTTAAAATAGGAAAGCTAACTTATTCGACTGTTTTGAGTATCTACTATTTCCCTAAGGATGCCCACAGACATGTTCCTAATTGGATTTGCTGTCACAAAGTTCCATATAGACATAAAGTAAGAACTCTTAGCCTATTAACTGTACTGAGAAGCTCAGTGCTGGCTCACAGAGAATACATTAGCAAGCTCAAAGGAACGGCTTTCATTCCTAGTGTTCCTAGGTCAGTGTTCTTTTTTCCTTTCCCCTCTTACTCTTTATGTCTTCCCGTTTGTGTGCATCTCCTATGTGCGCCATTAACAGATATTATATTTTCTAACTATCAAAAGATTTGCCTGCCTTTGTGTATGCATGTGATGTGCAAACATCTCAGAAAAGAAGTGTAGATCCAAAGCAAGGATTTTGCCTTGTGAGCCACTGGCCTGGGAGGTTACCTGGCCCACCCAGGAGGTGTTCAGTAAATACTTGCTGAGGGGTGAATGAAGCCTCACTTCCTCCTGCCTGTCACATACAAAGTGTGCGGCAGGGTCACCTGACTCTGATGCTCAGTCGGCAAGGAGGGATGATTGCTGATTCAAGATAAATTTTAGCTTTTTGCCCTGTATGTGAAGGCCACAAAGGTAAAAGATCTATTCCCTCAGCTTTAGCATAGGGAATAATAAAATAATAACTTGAAATAATCTTTCAGTGTTAGTAGTAAATTCTGAAAGAATCCATGGCTTTTATGAAACAGTTATAATAAAAAAATATTCTTCCTTTTCCCTGCTTTAATGAAGGAATATTTTGTTGTTGTTGTTGTTGCTGCTGCTGTGTGTGTGTGTGTGTGTGTGTGTGTGTGTGTGTGTGTATACTCTTAGATGTCTCAAGAAGTTCTTTAGAAACACAAATTATAGAACAGGACGGGATGAGGCGAGGAAGAGCCACAGGTTCAGGAGTAAGGTTGGACAGAAGGAGAAACTATTAATGCCAACAGCACTGGAGTTGACAGCTCATCTCTGCTTCAGAAGAGCTGGTGAAAAGGAATTGTATTCTCAACACAATAACCGATAACTGTTGAAGTCTTACCTATTCCACTTACTCTGTAACAATCAGCGCACATTATATGCTTGTAGGAACTGTCATGTTGTCCTTCTTAAACATGTGCAAATACCATTTGTCAATTAGAAGCTTTAAATAGGGCTGGAGAGATGGCTCAGTGGTCAGGAGCACCCATTGCTCTCCCCAAGGACCTGGTTCAGTTTCCAGTCCCCGTGAGGCAGCCCACAACTGCCTGTAACTCCAGCTCCAGGGAATTCAGTGACCTCTCTGGCCACAAGGTCAACTGCATGCTTATACATATACCTACACACAGATACACATATGGAAAATTTAACAACCTCAGGGAGAAAACAACTTTAAAATAGGGCTGGTAAGATGTCTCAGCAAGTAAACATATACATAAATAAATAGGAGTGTTTTTAGTTTTAAATATTACTTAAATCCCAACTACACAAATCTTATACTTAGGATATAAATTATGTTTGTAGCTTTTTAAACACTGGGAAGCTTGTAAAATTAATACAATATTCCTTTTATGAAAAAGATTATATATACAGTGTTCTGTTTGCATGTTGGCCTGCACACGTGAAGAGAGCTTCAGATCTCATTATAAATGGTTACAAGCTGCCATGTGGTTGCTGGGAATTGAACTCAGGACCTCTGGAAGAGCAGGCAGTGCTCTTAACCACTGAGCCACCTCTCCAGCCCCAATTCCACATTCCTAAGACCTCCATTTTATTGTTGATGCAAAGGATATGGTGGTCATGCTTTCGTCATCTCATATATTTTTAAGTTAAAAATTTAGCCTTAGTGTAGAACAGCATAGAGTGAGAAGAGAACACCGGCCTGGAAACCGTGTGTCCAGTGCTTCTGCAGAGTTATGTTTTCTGTCGTTTCCAGTTGACGCTGGTCGTGTTAAAATAGTAAGGCGCAGCTGTGAGATTTTGCAAAGAAGGAAATGATGCTAGCTGCTACTTCTCACTGCAGGCCGCTTTGACGCTTCCAAGAAGACCTTTCCTCCACTGTTCCACCGTGATACCCGTGGCAGTTGTGAGCCTGAAGCTGGCCATGCACCTTTTCAGGCTCCGGGACTCGTGGTGCTTCCTCCCGTGGATGCTCTTCATTTCCTGGGCTTCGCACCACATCCGAGATGGAATTCGTCACGGCCTGTGGATATGCCCATTTGGGAAAACTTCTCCTTTGCCCTTCTGGCTTTATGTGACAACCACATTATCCTTACCACACCTGTGCTCATTCCTTATGTATTTAACAGGGACCAGACAAACGATATCTTCAAAACATGGGATGCGTGTTGATGTCTGAGATGACCATTTGCCTCTAAGGAAAGGCAATAGCTCAGATGACGATGATGAAAGACAGACAGTGTTCAACTGAAATTTTGCTTTTGTTTTTGAGACAGGGTTTCTCTGTACAGTGCTGGCTGCCTTGGAACTCCTCCCTCTGTAGACCAGGCCAGCCTCAAATTCAGAGATCCACCTGCTTCTGCCTCCTGAGTGTTGGGATTAAAGGCGTGGGCCATCACTGCCAGGCCTCAAGTGAAAATTTTAAAACACAGTTAGGTACTTTATTTAGTTTTTACAATTCTCCGGCCCTCTTGCTCGGGAGGCAGGCTCAGTACTTGCCCTTCCCTCTTACGCGACCATCTAGTGCAGTATTGGGGTTGTCCTTATTTCATACTCTGTTGTTATATTGCTGCTGCTTTGTCTGACATTACTGGTTTTGTCAAGTTGATTGATACCTACTGAGCTGTCTGGAAGTCTGTCTTCAAAACCAGTCCATTTCCTAATAAAAATCAAAGTTTTGGATGGCTAACTTATAAAGAGCTCACATAATATGATATTTGAATTCACATTTTCCTGGGACACCGAAACAGTGAAGTGGACAAAATAAATAAGGTCATGATAAGATGTCTATTGAGCACTAAACAATCATTTCACATATGTTGACCCTGACTGAAGTAATAACTTTAAATGTTTGTGGACAGTAATTATTGGCAAATATCTAACTAAAATAATAAAATTAAATCTAAGTTACAATTTCAGAAATCAATTTAGGAAGTAATTATTCTCACATTGCCTATAATTACATTCACTGAAATTATTGGGGGGGGGGGTTAGTATCTTTGCCCAGGAATCTCATGTTAGCATTTTCACTAACTAAATATTTAGAAAATATTTATAACAAAGAGCTTTGACAAAACCATACACGGATCACCACTGAACTTACATAAAAACAGAACTGAGCAATGGTGCCATCTGAGATGCAGATTCGTGACGGCCACTAAAATTGCAATAGTTGTGTGATCGTGACAAACTAGTCTAAAATGTTGTTCAAATGATTTTTTTTTAAAATCTTCTCCTTACTGAGAACGAAAGGATTTTTCAAAATAAAATAGTTTTTGGAAATCTTGCTTTTTCTTTTGCTCTTCCGGGTTCGACTGTTAAGATGATGAACTTTCCTAGAGAAGGAAGTGCATCCCTGTAAACTTACATCTGTGGTTTGCTATGACCGTGGTCTTAACATGCTGCCCCAGAGACGCCTCTCTTTCTTTGTGACACATGGGATTCCTATTTCCTTCAGATTCTTTTTAATTTGTGATTTGCAATGCTAGCAATTGTGTGCCCTAGTCTCTGAGGAAACGTGGGTGACTTAGAACATGATGTCATATCCTAACCAGGCTTCTGCCTTTATAGAGTTCTGTACATTGTAGAAGGGTTCATGATCTTTGGAGAGTATTTTTCTTATTGTTAAATTCTTTGCAACCTGTTACTTTATACAGCCTAGCTCTTAGGTACTATTACCTTTCAAATGTTGAAATAGGAGCGGCGGCGGGGTTGCGTCCCCAACACCCCGGCCGCTTGGCTAGCTCATGCCCGAAATAACAACACACAAACTGTATTCATTTAAGAACTGCTTGGCCCATAAACTCTAACCCTTACAGGCTAATTCTCGCACCTGGACTAGCCCATTTCTAATGATGTTTGTAAGCACCCCAAGGTGCGCTTACCGGGAAGATTCTAGCCTCCATCCATCGTGGGTTGCAGCTGCCTGGGAGAGCTGAGCATGGCGTCTCTGCTCCAGCAGAGCTGTCGGGCCTCTCTGGGAGCAGAGCAGAGTCTGACCTCACTTCCTCTTCCGCCCAGAATTCTATTCTGTTTACTCCTCCCATCTATGTTTCAAGCCATGAGGCCAAGCAGCTGGTTTATTATAACTTAACCAATGAAATCAACAGATTGATTTATGACACTCCCACATCATTCAAAAGCAACTGTCAATTTGGTTGATATGATAGTTAAGTATTATATAAAGAATAAGTTTAATTAAATTTATTTTAAACATCTGGCTTAAATTCATGAAAATTAAGTCTATATAACATGGAAATTTTTCTAAATTGTAATTGTAAAATTCTTTGTATTTTTCTCTCTTTTCATATTAAGCATAAGAACATAGCAAGCTCCAGGACAGCCAGGACTACATAGAGAGAACTTGTTTCAAAAAAAAAAAAAAAAAAACAGCAACAAAAAAGAGACCTTGCTTTAAAATGTCACCTTAGGGGTCATCTCACTTTCTATTGTTAGAAAGAAAATTCACTTTTGCCATCATTCCTTCCTTAAATAATAAAGTTTTGGGATGGTTTACCACAGTTTACCTCCGAGCTCAGAAATGTCCCTTCTTTAATGAGTGTTGTTTGTGGCTCTGACCTCTAAGACACTAACAACCTGCAGCCACCCCTCCATACCGCCACTCTGTTCTTGGCCCTACTGACAATGGATGTTTGTCAGCGCACCATTGTTTGAGGGCTGAGTTCATCTTGTTGGCCTGCATCTCCTCCATCCTCTTCACGTCTTCTCTCCTCACTGGTCCCTCCGCCCAGGCTTCTCTGGAGCTCGTGAAGCTTCAGGGAAACGCCGCCACTGCAGCATCCACTCATCCCCTCATCTTGGCAACTGGCTCCAGGTCAGTTTTCAGACAGGACCTGATGAAAACTCTGACCCACAGAATGACTAGAAGAGAGAAGGCAGCACAGAACACAGACATGCCCAACTCTTAACGGTTGGTGTTCTCCAGGGCCAGGGTGTTTTCATCCAGGCCCATGTACATCTGTGAGAGGATATACTAACACACACACACACACACACACACACACACACACACACACACACACACACACACGATCTCTCCATGTACCCCAACCCAGGCTGGACTGGAAAAGCAACTACTCCTACCTCAGCCTCTGGGTGCTGGAATAATGAGCTTGCAAAGCCATGCCTGGCTTAGACATACTTTTTATACTGGGAATTTCAGTTGATAGACTTTGTCTCCTAAAGCTACAAAACAATGACTAAAGTCATTCAGTCCTGCGCCCTCCCTTCAAATCAGACAAGCCCAGTGATAGTTGATCCTACTTTTACACGAGTTTAAAGAATAATCTGAGTGCTCGATGCCTTTTATATCCTATTATAAATGAAGTGGCACTTTATTCCATATTATTCATACATATAAGATCTGAATATACAAAGTCTGATTTATAACAGAGCTATAAGGTTCGCTGGGACCTTGCAAAATTTTATGGCAACTGGGCAAACACTGGAATGATAAAGTGATACTCAAGCTTCTGGGTATGAAGTTCTGTAAAAGCCTTTAGGTATGACTGTGTGGTACTTTACTGTGATGGCCTTTTAAGTGTGAATAATTATGTAAGTCGTGGTGCATAGTAAATTCTCCCTCAAAGGGAAACTCGTCAGCCTACCAATATTTAATATAATTGCATCTACAATCAGGTGATAAAATGGAAATACTATAAGCAGTCTGCCCACAAATTAAAAATCAGCAACGTCTTCCAACTTGGTGGTTGGTGCTAGGGTCTCTCGTTGGTGGCTGGGTTAAAGACCTGGCTGTGGGGTTCAGCTGCAGAGGGCAAACACCTGAGAACTGTGCCAGGGTCTTCTCTGAAGACACAGCAGGGGCTCCCTGGGAATGTGCAGAACTGAACACCCTTGTGTGTACCGCACTGATGAGCAGTGTCCTTTGTTTCGTATGTGTGCTCTCTCTGGATGTCAGTGTGCATGAATGGAGAGCAGAGAGAAGGGACCGCCTAGGACTGTCCTGGATGTGACAGGTTTCACAGTGAAACACGTGCTGAACTTGATTCTGACGTGGCAAGAGGTGGATATGAATGTAGATTTAAACTACATTTAGAAATACTGTGTGGTTGGGATACTTTTTACTTCTCAGTGACACCGGGAAGGGCTTATCTCAAATACTGTATTACATTACAGAAATAACCATCTAAAGGGAAATCCCAAGACATTCAATATAGTTAGATAAGAATGCAAAGTTAAAAGGTAGTTTCTGAATCCCTCCTAGTAGTTTTCTGAAAGACTAGAGATTCTCGCTATTGGTGGCAGCTGCAGAGACCTCCCCATCATTGCCAGAGGAAACGTGCTACTAGATTTAAAAGTACAAGCCTTCTGGGTAGAGACCCAGAAGTTCCAGGTCTAGGGAGTTAGTTCCAGGGCTACACACATAAGCACAGAGGAAAGGGGGCAGTTAGTGACCTGAGAGGGCAAAAACCAAGCAGGAGCCTACATAACAGTTGTGGACTAGATGATCACTAACCTAAGTTAGTATGCAAACCTTAAACTAAAATGCCTACACATTTGAATAGTGAGCCAGATCAATACAGCCTATGCAAAATGTCTGTCTTAAGTCTTTAAAAATTAAAACAATCAGTAAGACAGTATGCTGTCATTTTTGTAAAGCTTGCCTGGTGTGCATGTGTGTGTGGAGTTAGTAGGTCACATGGGCCATGAGGAATGTCTACGTTTATGATGCTTAACAATAAACAAGTATGCTTCTATATTCTATTTTCAGTAAAGGCGTTTCCATTTCCTGCCATAAGTACAATTTCAGGCTATGGATGTTTGACCTGACCCCACCACCTGACTGCCCAAACTCAGACACTGGTGTCCCAGTGGGAAGACAGCTTTGATCAGCTCTTGTTCACCATTGGGTTCAATGCCTCTGCGTGCACATACTTCTTTCTCTATTATTTAAATATACCATTTCATCAGACACTAGCAATATCCCAAGGTGCCCCAAGGCAGGAAGTTCATGACAATTTTATTAATCTGATAAATTCCCTTATTATTATCATTTATTTTCATATACAGAAAGATAAAACTTGAAGACCAGGCAAGGAGGCATGTGCCTTTAATCCCAGCACTTGGTAGACAGAGGCAGATGGATCTCTGTGAGTTCAAGGCCAGCCTCTTTGACATAGTTCCAGGCCAATTTCAAGATAAAACTTGAAATAGTTAGAGATTTCCATCCTATTCTGTTGGAGGTGTGGCTGCTTCTTCACACAGAAGGAAAGACTACACGTGTATTTATTTGAGGCCCCAGCACAGAATTTAGGCAGCAGAACTCCAACTTAGCAGATCTAATTTCAAATGACACTTGTTTCTGAAACCAGGACAGAAAAGAGGAACAAAGACCCCCTGCTAGTGAGTGAACTATGACAGCGTTCTTTTTTTTTTTTTTGTCTTTCGAGACAGGGTTTCTCTGTGGCTTTGGAGCCTGTCCTGGAACTAGCTCTGTAGACCAGGCAGGTCTCGAACTCACAGAGATCCACCTGCCTCTGCCTCCCGAGTGCTGGGATTAAAGGCGTGCGCCACCATCGCCCGGCTTACAGCGTTCTTTAAAAGGATATTTCTCCTAATAATCAACTTACACAGGTAAACTACACTTCAGATAATGCAAGGCCTTGTCA